AAACAAATTGATTTAAAGCAAAGCATGCTGCCTCGATACTGCCCCATAGCTCTTAAAGCAGTCTCTAGTAGCTTTACAATTTAATTATGGTGGCTACACATCGCTCCCCCCTCCCTCGAAACAAGCTGGGTACTCAGCTTACCAACTTCAGAAGGATAGAAGGCTGAGTGAACCTTGAGTTGGCTACCTGTGGTTGCCCTTGGATCATAAGCAGAGTTCTGGCTGCAGTACAGCAGTCTAACCACTATGCCACGAGGCTCCTTAGATGAACCTTCTCTCAGCCTGCTGCTGATAAAACAAGGATTATTAGAAACTCAGTTGATTCTCTCCCCCCTGCCCAGGTCCATTCTGAAACAGTCTGCAATGACCAGTTGGCTGAACACACTTTGGATCCACACAGAGGCCGCAAGCAAAAATAAGAAAGTCACAGGCATTCTAGATCACTAGAGCACAGGGATTAAATTCGCAGTCACTGAACTGGCAAAGGGAAAAGGAACTTCCCTGCTCCCATCCAACAATTTCAAATAAACTTTTAAAAGGAACACTGCATGAACTTCAATATAGTATAGAATGTATTTCTGAATCTGGCCAAGATGTTTTACACACTTCCAGTTTATCTTAGAGTGTGGCTTGCAACATGAAGTTAAGTAACCTTATTATTTTAAACCTGAATTTCCTTAGCTGACGATTTTTCTGCTTTTATTATGCAATAGTTTACCAAGTTAGCTAACTAAAATCAGTGCCACTCCCACAAGGTTGAAACAGGGTACTTTCTAAGTGTCAACATGCTCTATCCATTAGTACACATGAAACACTGTTCTGTTTCTTACTGAAGAAAAAGGTGTTTTTGTATAATGGTGCTGATAATAAAGTTTGCTTTAAGGAAGGCAAATGACTGAAATGGGTGTGAAGTGCACACAGAAGAATGTGTCGATGATTCTATCCATATCACATATCATACAACATTTCAGAGGTAACAAAAGAATTACAGTGCCTGTTTTGGACTAGAATTCTCAAAACTCCACAGCCAATATGCCCAAGAGACATACCTGCTGGTGGATTCTGGGATTTGTAGTCCTCAAAATAAGTTTTTGAAGTTGTATGTTAATTTGTTTACGTCAGAGAATTATGGTCAATTCCAGTTTTCTGGAGCATGTACCTTTTTGACATACGCCAATGGTAAGCAATTTCAGCAGGGCTGAGAGTCAATCCAGCCCCCCCCCGGCCCCAGATTTGCTGGAAGTCCAAGAGCCACACTTTCAAAAGGAAGAGCTGGGAGGGGGGCATAAGCAAAGAAGGCAATTTGAACACTTAGGGTCTTGATAATTCTTGAAAGGGCACTACAAGGGGTTTTTTGTTAACTGAAAAATGAGTTAAAACTGAAATGGCCATCTTGGACTCTCCAATGCCCCAAAAGCATTTTTTAAAAATATTAAAAACATGATGTTATGCAGCAGGGATCAGGGGGCTGGGAAACAGTCAAACATTGTTTAATTGCTTGTCATACCTTCTAGAGAGAGCACATGGGTAGTTTCAGAACTATTTTTCTTTTCAAAAAACTGTTTTCCTTTTGAGAGATTTGGACAGCCCGGGGAAATGCAAAAATGCCCCTTGAGTGTGTGTGTATGCAGCCTACATGTCACATAGCATCCACCCCAACATATAGTTACATTCACATGTTATAGTTTTAAGAGTACAGTACATGTAAAATGTAGAGCATACGAACAACTCCTTTAGAGACACAATATAAAAAGACACAAGTATACAGTCACTTGCCCACTCCCTTCTAAGGAATAATATAAGGATGTCTTTCTCCGTTTCAAGCTGGTTCGTTCTCTCTCTCTTTTTAAAGGTGTGCCACAAATTATTTACAGAGTAACCAAACCCCTCAAAACAGCTGGCTGGGTAGAATTAACATTGTGGGAACATTCTACCAATGGTGGAGAACTAGGACCCTAATTATGCCCATAGAACTTTTAAAAGTTCCTTTCTGAGATATAAAAGTTCCCAGAATCCTGCAGGCAACATGTCCAGGAGTCATTGGGGATTCTGAGAGTTGTAGTCTAAAATGACAATCTTCATAAATTCTGACATAATTCTACTGCTGATGGCTCCCAGCAAAATTTAATCCCAAAGAGGACTGGGGTGGGACAGGAGGAGCTTTGGATCGGCTACATCTTTAGGGCTGGATATTATTTCTAGCTGAGCACATTATCTTTTAATAAGTACCAATTATTTATTCATGAAATGGATTCTGTATCTCTCCACGAAATGTTCCAACTGCTAAAACTAGAACAAAAATGCAAAAATTCATAATTGGATTTGAACCTAATCTTCTTACATGAACAGAATTCAGGTTCATGGAATGTAGCTTCTCCTCTCTTTGCTGAGACTTACTGTGCTGAGTTAGGTAGGAGAGATGCCACTTATCATAAAGACAAGAACACATGTTCTTCGACTACAACTTCCAGAAGCCTTCACCACCACCTCTGCTGGCCAAGATTTCTGGGAGTTGAAGTCCAAGAATATCTGGAGGCCCAAGGTTGGGGACCACTGCTCTAGATCATCTGGCCTATAGCTACCACCACCCATAGTTGGGAACCATTCTTGCAATCCATCCCATGGGGAAGCTGCAAGCTTGGGAAGGCTGATCTATAAATTTAAGGTGATGCTACTCAGCTAGTGCTCTGGGAGTGCATACCTCCTAATATTAGCAAATCTCAGATTAATTCCTATCTGTCTTTACCTGGGAGTCCATCCCGCTAAATGTAGAGAGGCTTGATTCTAAACTGACAAATGCAGGATTGCTCTGTGTCACTGCAGTCAAGATCTGCATAGATGTGCATTGTATCGGAAACTTAAAAATTTGTTTCCAAACCATGACAAAAATTTATGGGTGCCATTTTTGTCCTAGCGCGAATCACAATTTCTCCTGCACAAGATCCACAGTCCAAAGATTACATCCTGTGGCAGGAGGTAGAATTAAGAGCCTGGGGAAGGTACCAGGCACTTCAAGAGATTATCATTGTTACTATTCCAGCCACCCAGCTACAGTATTAGTAACCCCTGTTCTGAGTCAGGCAGGGACCATTCCTATCACACCTGTGCTTGGCACATTACAACTGCTCTGAGGCTCTTTTGCCAACTAGATCAAAGCCTGGGGAATAACTAGGTTTGCATGAGAACTCCCAGGACGCCCCAGCTGGGGAACTGTGGGTCTTCTAACCCCAGATAAGAGAGGGCCGCTTAAAAATGTTAGACCGAAGTCACTACCAAGCCATGGAAGCCAGTGCTTGTTTTGCAGCGACATTCTCCTGACTCTTGCAAACGCAGTCTACAAATCCTTTCAGCTTTTTAAGACAACTCCTTTTCTCCCTAAAAGGACAAGGCAGCCAACGAGACAACCCGGGTCCTTCTGCGAGCAAAAAGCATCATCCTCTCTCACCAGAGCAAGCCACGCAGCCCGTTCCCGCGCGCCAGGACCGTCGGCGAGCCTAGTCCTCCATTCCTCCGGGATGGTGGGATCGTCGCTCGCTCTCCTGACAGACGCCCGCCCGCCGGCCCGCTCGCTCCAGTTTTATTTCCAGGGACTAAATCGGTTTATCGTTCGAGGAGACAATATTAGAGCCTCCCTCGAGGGGGAAGTGGGCCGGTTTAGAGGAAAGCGCACGTGTCCCCTCGCCGAGCTGTGGCGGGGCAGCGACGCGGGAAGGAAAGGAGGGAGGAGAAAGAGGGACAGCACGGGAAGCCTACCTATGGAAAGGAGCGGCTCAGACACGGTTATGGAGCCGGGAAGGGTCCTCCGGAGGCAGCGACGAGGCCCGAGCGGCCTTCTTGTCTCGCTGTTGGCGCTCGAAGCTCCCTCGGTGCCAAGTCATTCAAGCCGCGGCAGCCATGCGCACCCGCAAAGCCGGCGGGGAGGCGCCCGCGCAGCGCCGGTGCTTGGCTGAAATCTCTCTTCCCGCACACGCTTTTTTTTGGCCTTTTTTTACGGGAACCCCCTCACCTCACAACCTGGAGTCACGCTGGTTTCAGTAACGGTCCGCCCCCCGCCTCCGCCTCACCGCTTCCAGAAGCTGGAGGACTAGAAAGAGGCGGCAGAGCCAGGAAAGGGATTAGCTGTTCGCCGCGCGCGTCGGCTGAGGGAGATGTCCCCTCACCGAGGATGAGGTGGAAAGGGGAAGGGAGCCGTATCCTGGCCTCGAGCGGTTGCTAAGTGCCCGTGGCTCTAGACATGCCGCAGAAGGCGTGGGGGCCATACCCCAGGAGGCTGGGCGGGGATGCTACAGGGTTCCCTCATAAGGGCTTAGTCGTGGTTTAGCGCCTGCTGGAGAGCGCCAGCTAGAAAGGAAGATGGGGCAGACGCTGTAAACGGAGACTTTCAAAGGGCGCTGTACGAATGGGTCATCGCTGAAACCCATGGGGTGTGGCTACACCCCCTTTATAGTCCTCATTCATCTTAGAGGAGGCCAGTCGTTTTCGTCCGGTCCCTTCCCCCCCCCTTTCCAAACCAAAACACTCCCCACAAAAACTGCAGTGGAGTGAATGAGAGTATCTCTTAACAGGAAGCATTAGGGTTCTCTGAATGGAAGCACCCCTAATGGGGCTTTTCTGTCTTCTCTCAGGTTTTTTAAGAATTGCCTTCTAATCTAGAGCTAGAAAGTGTGTACACTAAACAGTCACTCTTCTGTGAAATGGAGGATTCATTCTAAACCTCCTCAATTCCTTCAGGACACCTGACAATTTGCACAGGTGTATGATGGGGAGTCCGCAACAGGATTTTGATGTACGCAACTGCATACATCACAATGGAGACAAACGAATTACATGGTATAGGCTACTTTAAAAAAAGCAAGTCATAAAGTGTAAAGAGTCTGAAGCTGCTGTATTAGGCCCCCGCTGGTCATCTTTCACTGAACAGAAGTAGCTCTGCTATGTTGATGCCTTTAAATTTGTTGTCTATAACCACTGAAAATCAAAGGAAAGGAAGATGCAGAATATGATCAAACATGGAACCTGTTTTATTAGAAGCACATTGCATAGATTAAGAGCTTAATATGCATTGTAGCTGCATTAACAAATGATTATAAGCTGAACCCAGGTGACACGATGGATTTTATAAACAATAATAATAAAAAGAAAATTTAAAAAATGTTGTCTGTAACCTTGTTACTAGAATAAAGATAAAGCAAAACAAGGAAAAACAAGCTAGAAATTATCTTATAAAATGCTAGGCCATCAGTTTTTATGTACTCACAGTAAATTGATCTTGCTGCTATTCATCACTTTAGAAAACCTTAGCACTAAATTTGTTTATAAACACCTATTATTGCCCTAGGGAATAATGTACAGGCTTGAAAAAAGGTTTTTTGTGTGTTTAAATGTTACAAGATTTGGGGTGGATGTGCTGAAGTTGTTGCCTGCCATTAATCATATAACGAGTGGTGACTTGTCAAGGTTGCGCATAATGCCTGTGTAAGAAGTATTATGTACAGTACTGTATGTGAAATAGCTCACAGTATACGAAATGTTACAATGTAGAATAGTGTGTTAAATACCCACTAGAACTAGATGATGCATTGCTTACCTTCCTAATTATGTATCTTGTTGCAATTTGCTAAGATAGCAATTTGCTGGGTTGGCAAACATAATGTAGCTTTCCATAGAGATTTTAAGGTACAGTATGTGATTATTAGGTTAGCAGTTTGCTTCACCAGCAGGCATCAATTGTTGGGAGTTGGAGAGGTAAATAAGCAACTAAAATGTATAAAAAACAGCCTAAAAAACCTTAGACAAGGAGCAAAGAAAGAGAAGAAAACACCTGTAAAGATGAGAATCTGCTGGTGATGGTGGTAAGAATTTTTATAAAAATATATAAACATACTTGACGTTATTATGTGACTGCTTATGGTTTAGAAGTTAAGATGCTACTATAGCTATGATTTAACTATGTTTTTAACTTGGTTACTATACTTTTGTGATACTTTATTAAGTGCTTATTGCTTCCTTTGGAAGCACTTTGGAAAACTACAGTTTTCATAACTACATTTTTTGATATAATAGATAAAAACACTATTACACACCACATATATATCTGCTTGTGCGTACTTGTTTGTTAGGTAAATGGAGAGAAAAGTAAAGATTCTTCTTGGCATTGAGTTTATCTACTTTGCATGGGGCAAGGAACTTAAAGGATACTCGGAAAAACAGAGTTAATTGTAGAAGGTGCAGAATATTTGGTTCACTCTGAAAGAAATCCTTACAAGGATAATGTCAACTGTGATGAACACAGGCTTTTGATTTTTTCTAGGGGGTCTATAAAGGTCTATAGGGTTCTTAGAGAAAGTGTTCAAATGTTAGACTTTCTAGCCTTACAGACGAGTATGGCTAGGAAGAAGGAAATGTTTTGTTTTTCCAGGTTGCAAAATATATTTTGTAAAGCTTTGGTGGATTCAAAATGCAAGAGTCACCCAAGCTGGCCATAAGACACATTTCAGAGCCCCTGTTGGCACAATACCTTTATTAAGGCAAGGAAAAGACACAAAAACCTGTGCAAGTTCTCAGGTCCTCTCAGTCCCCTTCTTGGGGAAAGATGCAAGACCTAGGGATCTTGTAGTCTTGAGCTAAGCCATGCATATTGGGCATAAATGAAGTGCAATCAACATCTTCTGTAGAAAGGCCCTCAGGAAAAGTTGTATTAATATCTTTGACATAGTTGGCAACAGATCTCTCATCTCTCATTTTAGCCATTTAAAGTGGTGCCGTCTCTGATTATCTCTGTTCAAGAGAGCTTCTCCTTTTGGTCCTCCGGTGTCCAAGGAGCCCTTTTTCATTTGAGAATGGCTACTCCAGAAACCAAGTTACATGCTCCAGCCACCATCAATGATGCATGGATTGCCAGTCACGTATGCAGACTGAAATATGTAGGGAAAAGTGGGGAGAAAAATAAATACAGCAAAAAGCATGGCAGAGGAGTTACAAGTGCCACATTAAGAAGCATAATAGCAGCATAAAAAGTGTAATGCAGTAGCAACCAATATTAAATATTTCAGAAGTTAATTTGATTCCATACACCTCAATGGCAAAATTTTGGAGAACTATTTGTCCCTTTTGTTGATAACTAGACACTAAACCCCTAAGAGACCACCTTCTCCAATGTGTGCTCCATAAGGACATACAGTAGAAGGCTATGTTGCATGAAGTCAGACATTTGACCTGGTTAACCCAACATTGTTTACACTGACTGGGCAGCAAGTTTGCAGGGCTTTAGAATGGATTCTTTCTGACATCTACCTGGAGTGGATACTGATTGAACCTGGGGCATTCTCCTTGAAAAGCTTCTGATCTGGTACAGAAAATATGAAGTAAGTCTCCTTAGCTAGAAGGGCTTTTCTATTAGCACATTAGGAGAGCACATGCTTGGCATACATGAGGTTCCAGATTCACTGATCAGCATCTTTATTAGTAATGGGCAAAGTGTTTCTACTTTAAATAATTCTAAAGGCCACTAAACCATTAAATTAAAGTATTTTCCACAGTATGCATATGAATAACAATTTTTAAAATGCTGCCTAATATGTTTTCCATTGTGACACATCGACAACAAGGTCTTCAGTTTATACTGCAGGCTTTCAAGGGGAAATAAGGGCTGAATCACAACATGTCCACAATATTCCTGCTGGTTCATGTGATTTTCCTATTCATATAAGGCCAAGCTTAGGCCTAACATATATCCTTTACCTTCTGTCCAAAGAGCAACACGCTGCCATTTTCTATTTTTTTCTACATTGCTTATACCATGTACTCATGCCCTGTAAAACTGAGCTAGGATACCTTTGGACTTCAATTCCGCAAAATCCCAGGCAGTATGACCCATATGGTAAACGTTTATAGAATCTTTATTCACAATATTTGCTGAGGCCAAGTTTCCTGTGCAAGTCCTGCTACAAGGGCTTTATCTTCTAATAGAGAAAGCAGGTGTGGGACCAGCAATCATGATTAAGATTGCAGTGGGAGCCAAAGTTCCCTCCATCCCCATCCTGATAGGGTGCAATGTGAATCAGGGCCTGCATGCCTGCTATTTAACATGTGCTGTATGTCTTCTGTACAAATCACAGTAAATTATTAAATGTTCCAATAATCACAAAAGTTGTTTAATTAACATCAAGTTTAGTTTGGAAGAAGCAGGAAATTGGTGATGGTGGGAAGGTTTCAACTCAGCTGCACAGGCAGAAAAAAACTCATGAAGGAGCTTTAAATTGTGGTTCTGCTGTTCGTGATGGAAGACAACCACCTTTACACACAATGCTTCCTGCGAAGGTAAAACATAAGCAACCAGCAGCAAACTAATGGGATTAAGTGTAAAAGAAAAGAATTTGCAAATGTTAGTTTTGAGGACTACAGGTCCCAGGATTCCTTAGAAAGCAGAGCTACTGGCCATGCTGGGAGCTGTCATCCACACAAGTATTTTCCCCCAGCTTAAAGCCGGAGTTTTGGACTGCAACTCCCAGAAGCCTTCACCACCAGCTGTCCTGACTGGGGTTTCTGGGAGTTGCAGTTCAAAAGCATCCGTGTAACAAAGGTTAAGAACCACTGATCTACACAAGTAGTTTTCCCCAGCTTAAAGCAATTTGAAACAAATTGGTGGATTGCTATGCAGATGACTTTGGGCACTTACTTCATCAGATGCCAAATACACAAAGAGGTGAGCTACTTCTTCTGCTGTTGCAAATCTGCCTGTCTTTTGCCTGGCCAAAAAGCCCTTCATTGCCTGGGGAGAAAAAGCATTCTCACAGTCAAGAAACTACCATTTATATAAGAAACAACTGTTCTGCGACTTGTCAGGACATGCCAAAATCAATGGCCTCTAATCACCAGCACACTGTTTTTAAAGGTCCCATGGTGAGGCTGCTCTGCATTTAAAAAAAAGCAGCGATCAACAGGGAAAAATGAATTCAGCCCACACCAAGTTGTGTTCTGTATTCCAAACTATAAACCTTTTCATCCATATGATTATAAATGTACTTTGCATGTTGGAAAAAACTGTTTCAGGGCAGCCTTAGGAGAACAATACACTCTAGATCAGTGATGGTAAACCTTTGGCACGTGTGCAACAGCTGGCACGCAGAGGCCTCTCTACGGGCATGTGAGCCATATTGCCATATTGCTACCCCCCTCCCCCCTGCGGCCAAACCTGAGAAGGCAGCCTCAGTCGTGGTGCTGGTGCCCTGACAGGTGGCGGGCCAAGATCCGGAGCAGCTAGTACTGGCGGCAGATCAGGAGTGGGGTCTTGAGGCACCTCCATGCCCGGGATTCCCCCATCAACTGCTACTTCTGGTTCTGCTGCCGCCACCCGCCACCCACTGGTTTTTCCCCCCTTCAATTTGGGCACTCGAGATCCAAAAAGGTTCGCTGTCACTGGTCTAGATAGTCCTTCATTGTGCTGAGATAATACAGTACGTGCTCACCTGTTCTGGATTTGGACTAGCCTGGATCCTTTCCCTTAGAGAAGGGGTGTCAACAGTGCCTGCAAAAATATTAGAACATTAGTTTAATGCCACTGTGCTGAATGGGAATGCAGATAAACCTTTTGAGTGAAATCTTCTCTTTCTCTTTTCAAAAAAAAGTTGTTTTACTATTGTGCTCCAGAAGTGGTATCATCAAGGTATCCAAGACCTTAAGAAGTCCAGCATTTTATTTCCATGGGGCCACAAGCAGGAAAGCCCACAAGCAGGGCACAAGAACAAAAGCAGTTTACCACTTGCATTCTCAACAACTATTACACAAGCACCGTTTTATGTCCCCTCAAGCTGTTTCTGGCTGCTAGCAACCCTGTGAATTAATGTCCTCCAAAAAGATCCCACCATTAACAGCCCTACTTAGGTTTTGCAAACTGAAGACTGTGGCTTCCTTATTTGATTCCTTCTGTGTCCTCTTTTTCCTTTCCTACTGCCTTCTGCACCTTTTCCAGTAAATTCTGACTTCTCATGATATGTCCAAACCACTACTGCCTACTGAACTTAAGTTATTTTAGCTTCTATCTCTCTGTGTGTGTTCTGAGACTTTATTTGATCTTGAATCAATTTATTTTTCTTTCTGGAGGCTCATGGGATCCATAAAGCTCTCTGCTCAAAATCACATTTAAAATGAATTGACCCCGCCCCCGGGTCAGCTTTCTTTGCTAGGGTTCACATCTATCCGTAGTAATTTGTAAAACCACAGTATGCATGATCTCGATACTCAACAACAGATATATATATATATGCCCCTGATTATTGTAACCTATGGGAAGAAGATCACAGTGTTTAACAAGCAGGGCACAAGAACAAAAGCAGTTTGCCACTTGCATTCCTCAACATATATATATATGCCCCTGATTATTCTAACCTATGGGAAGAAGATCACAGTGTTTCCCCAGGTAATTCCGTCCCAGCCCATGATTCTTGGTGCCACCACTTCCTTCCTACTCAACAGTTTTTGTTCACAAATTACACAAGAAAGCCTGAATATATTACTTTCATAAAATAGAAATGTTCCAAATTTATTTATTTATAACCTAAGCTGTGGCTCATAATATAGTGAGTCCTTGGTCTAAGCTTTCTAGAACGTTTTGCCTGTAAGATTATGGAAGCTGCAAAAATAGAATTTGGTTAACTTGAGGTGAGAGGCAAATTTAAGGAAAGGATTGGAAAATCAAGTCTTGTCTTACTTTAACTGCTCAAATGAGTCACTGCAATGCCGTAAACTAAGTCAAACATAATGAAATCCTTGCTGTTTCTAAAATACATTAAATACCTTATTCATTCATTCATTCATTCATTCATTCATTCATTCATTCATTCATTCATTCTATTTATACCCCGCCTATCTGGTCATTTCGTATTAAATCCATGTATTAAATCCATGTACACTGACAATGTGAGCAATATACAGTGGACCCTCGACTTACAGACGGCTCGACTTACAGACTTTTCGAGTTACAGACTTCTCTGGCCGCAAAATTTAGTTTCGACTTGCAGCCGGAGAATCGACTTACAGACCAGAAAAAAAACGAAATGGAACAAAAATAGAATAAAAACTGCCAGTTATGGGATTAATCGTTTTTCAATGCATTGTAGGTCAATGGAAATTCGACCTACAGACTTTTCGACTTGCAGCCACCATTCCAATACGGATTAATTCTGTAAGTAGAGGGTCCACTGTAGCTTCTCCATCATTTTGTTTTTGTGAATGTGATCAAGCTTTTTTATTCCTTATTTCTTCATCCAAATGTTTGCTGAAGAACTGAATTAAAATAGGCTTGGGTGGCATAGGCTTCATCCTTGAGCTACAAAGTTCTGGACTCCTCTGCACAATCCTTGGAAGGCATACAAGACAGAGATTGCTGAACGATACTTACCGGGACAAACACAGTTGCATCGGATTCCATGTGCAATGAAGTCAGCAGCTACAGACTTTGTGAGACCAATAACTGCTGCCTTTGAGGTACTATAGACACACCTGTTAACAACCCCTGAAAGAAATCAAAATCAGCAATTAGAAAACCAAACTCTGTTTAGAAGGAAGGAAAGATGGATAGAAGGAAAGAGCTGCATTATGTTGCATCTGAGTGTTGCTCCTTGTTTTTTCACTGTCTCCATCTAAATTGCCTTGAGATGCCCTGAATGCTTCTTGTTATCTCATGTATACACATACCACCAGTTGTCTGTACCAAAATTTCTGAGTTTTGATTACATTTAATGGGCTTTCTGGAGGGCAGAATGTACAGTTCATGGAGATAAAGCAAAGCAAATGAAGTGTGCTGCCTCTATATCACCCTATAGTGCTTAAAGCACTCTCTGGGCAGTTTACAATTGAATTATGCAGGTTATACATTGCTCCCCCAGCAAGCTTGGTACTCAGTTTACTGACTTCAGAAAGATGAAAGGCTGAGTCCACTTTGAGCCAGCTACCTGGGACTAAACCCAGGGCATGGGCATATTTAATGCACTTTAACTACTGCAGTTTAACTAGTGTACCACAAGATAAAACCATTTGGATAGTAAATATGACGAAGTATTGGGAAATAAGTCTTATGGGGAAGTGCTGAGGGATCTGGATAGGTTTACCCTAGAAAAGATTGAGAAGGAGTATGATAGCCTTCTTTCAAAGATGTAGAAAGTGGTCTAGCAGACAGAATCAATGAATCCAAAGAACAAGACAGGTTTTTGACAAAAGATTAGGAAGAACTTCCTGGGAGAAAAAGCTGTTTAATAATGCAATAGACCACCTCCTGAAGTGCTGGTCTCTCCTTGCTTGGATTTTTAAAAACAGATCAGAAGGCCACATGTCAGGGTAGGAAGTTTTGCAGATGGGAAAAAATGTGTGTAGTGGGGAACGGATACATGTACCACTGGAGAAACAGAGAAAAAAATAGGCAAGTTGTGTATATCTGCTTATTAGGAACTTAAACATAAGGGAGTGTCATGTACCACAGGTTATATACAGGCGAAGAGGTACCTGGCTTTCATACTTAAATCAAGCCACCCAAACCTTACTAAAACAATCTCTTGCTTTTTGCTGGAACCCCATCATCGATACTGGAGGCATCAATACTTACTTTTCACTGCAGTGTAACAAAAACTAAAGGAAACACTCACCCTAAGGATCTGTGTTGGTCTCGTGTGTGTATTTGTCAGATCATTTGTGCAGTTGGAAAGCAGCATCCAGTCACTTTCAGCTGCCAATTAATGAGTTCCCACTGTGATTCTAGAGCATCCCCCAAGCCAATAGGCACGTGCTGCCCCACCAAGAATTCCAGTGGCACCTCATTTAATGTGAGCTAGTTTCAACTGAATGTTATGCCACTTGCCTTCTACATGTGTAAGAAATAGGATTTTTCAGCATGTGTTTCCTTGGTCTTCCTTCCAAAGCTTCCTTCTGCTGAATGTATCACATGAAATAAAAAACCAAACAACCCCTGTACTTTAAGCAGACTGAAAAGGCTTTGCTTTCATCTATGAATGTGAAGCACTTGAACTCTTGAAAGCTCTACAGATGTGAAGTTTTCTTTCTGCCTTGCTCGCCTTTCTTTTCCCTCATTACTTAAAGAAGTCTCACAGTAGTAATCTCTATAAACACATCTATGCACCCTTTCTGGAATCACATATCCAACGAGTTACAACAGCATGCTTATGCACAAGAAATGACGTACCTAATGTTGTCGTTTGATGCTTGTCATTAAGCAAATATATATATTTGCTTAATGGATTTGTTTCTTATTAGGTTGTAACATTTTGTTACTCATTGAAGTAGCTTCTTGGATGAGTAGCAAAATGTTTCAGCCTAACAAGAAAGAAGTCCAGTTGCCATGACTCAACTTCCAGGGTTCCATATATAATTCTTACAACGGCTCACTGAGAATTCTAGTGCCTCCCCTGAACAGGGCCAATATACAGTACTAACAAGTTAAGAAACAGGTTACGTTACTTCTGCTTCTCAGCATCATGGCTCACCCAAAAATGGTGTGTGACACAAGTGCATTTTTTTTCTTTGCTATCGTGAATTGCGCATATTAACAAATGACAGTTATAGCCAGAATGAAATTCACTTCCTCCATTGTACCTTACAGGAGAATAGATTTTTTTCTCCTGAGATGAATATTGATATTTACTATAGAACTGTCATATATTAAATTATACTCAAACTAATATGTGACGATAGTCAGGATATCAGAAGATTGCAGCACCAAATTAAAGACATCTGCTCTCTTTGAAGAGAAGCACATAATATGTAAGTGTAATGCACAAACGCGCACACACACACATGATTACACGGTGACGACTAACCTTTGATGCTGGATGCCACGGATGACATGTTGATAATGTTGCCAGATTTCTGCTCAAGCATCTTCCAATAAATAAATAAATACATACATAAATAAATACATCAATAAATAAATACATAAATAAATAAATCAAACAGAATCATGTGATGCCACAAGAGTCAACAAAGACTATGTTTATACTACACGGTTATATCAGTGTGATACTAATTTAACTCTCTTACCCTCTTTATACAAGAACTGGAGGTTGTTCATGATTTGTTTACCTTGGCTCAATGATCTCTGGCGCCCTCTCTCTAGAAGTCAAGCTGGATAAATGCATTTGCAAAGCATCTACCATGTTCTGTAGACTCACAAATAGAGTATGGCTGAATAAGAAGTTGACGGCATATACCAAGATCCAGGTCTATAGAGCCTGTGTCCTGAGTACACTCCTGTACTGCAGTGAGTTCTGGACCCTTTGTGCACAGCAGGAGAGGAAGTTGAACACATTCCATATGTGTTTTCTCTGATGCATTTTTGGTATCACTTGGCAGAATAAAGTTCCAAATAGAGTAGTTCTAGAGAACGAGCTGGAATTTTTAGCATGTATACAAACAGCAACATCTATGTTAGCTTGGGCATGTCATGAGAATGGCTGACGGTCGGATTCCAAAAGATCTCCTGTATGGAGAATTAGTGCAGGGAAATCACCCCAGAGGGAGACCACAGCTGCGATACAAGGAGATCTGCAAGCGGGATCTGAAGGCCTTAAGAATGGACCCCAACAGATGGGAAACCTTGACATCTGAGTGTTCAGCCTGGAGGCAGGTAGTGCAACATGGCCTCTCCCAATTTGAAGAGACACTTGTTCAGCAGGCCGAGGCAAAGAAGCAGTCTTGAAACCAGCAAAATCAGGGAGCTGGACAGGGGACATACTTCTTCAGTATGGAAGGGATTTTCACTCTCGTATGAGCCTCCTCAGCCGCACTAGACATTGTTACAAGACCTCTATTCAGAGCATGTTACCATAGTCTCTTGAGACTGAAGGATGCCCACATGACTAATTTAACTGGCATGACTCCAGCCTGAGCAATCCTGAGATTTCTAGATGGGTTAGTAAAGATGGCCATGAACCACTAAAGTGGTGGTTTGAGGTGGTTCCCAGGCCCACCTCCTCCAGAGGCTGCCCACTCAGAGGCAGAGGCAGCGAACCGCCAAGCAAATGTTCATCAGTTCGGCAGTTCATGCCCATCTCTATCGGTCAGGTACTTTCAATGCTCTGCAGAAATCACCAAAGTGGTTGCAAGCTCACTAGCAGAGTCTTAGTTAAAAACAATGGCCCAAATCCTGTTTTGTTGCACCAGTGGAAGGGAAACGGCATAACCTGCAGCAGCTAATTCTAATCCGAATGTTGTTATTTAGATTCCTCATTGTGTGCTGGTCAGGTAGCTCGACATGTGGCTAAGGATCCAAGGAGAAGCTCATTAAACAGTGTCAATTTACTGCTGCAAGTTATACCCTTTCTCTTTTGCTGGCAGAGCTATGCAAGAGGATTTTGGCCAGTGGAACCCTTACTTCACAAACATAATCTTAATAGTAATAATTGTAGAATTGCAGAGCTAGAAGGGACTCTATAGTTCACTGAGTCCAGCCTCTGTCAAGGAGGCATAGTGGGGAGTCAAACTCCCAAAATCTGGCTCCACAGTCAGATACCTAAACCCCTGAGCTATACAGCAGTTCATATAGATAAAATGGTACTGAATCAGAAGAATACGTTTTCAAAAAGTGTGAAATTTTTGAAGGACACAGGACAATTGACGCAAACTTGATGTACAAAGGGAAGGCCTGTGGTTTCGTTCCATATGTATCTGTAAGCAGGATGGTAGCCTGCTAAGCTAGGTCAGTTATATTAAATAAAATGAATGGGATGATAAGCTCTACCAGGATAAAATGGCACCCTAAATGGCACTTGCTTCTGAAAATATGTTAGTGGACTTGATATAATTAGAGGTATTTAAATTTCTGTTAGGAGTCCTGAATAAACAATACTAAAATGTTAAATTTAGTTGGAGATGAGGACAACTGATTTTGACCTTGTAACAGAATTTGTGCAATAACCCTAACTTCAAAGACCTTTCTTCTTTTCAAATAGATGAAGGAAAAGGTAAGATTTAACATACCACTTTTGTTTTGTTCCAGATGAGTAAAAAGTCTATCTTCCCCTTTCTCGCACAAAGTGGTTTCTGTTGCACAAGACTGATATAGTGGGAATCCTAAAGGACTGAGCTGGAAATCCAGGGCTTCCTGTTTTGAATCTTGCCACTGCCGTAAACACAGTGGGAGATGGGATGGAGGTTAGGAAAACCATCCCTTTAGCCACAGGCTGCCTTAATGGGATAATAACACTGAGTGACCTTATGGCAGGAGTGGGTAACATATAAGCCCCGGATTGTATAGGGCACCCTAAGAACACATTTTTTTTTTGTTCTCGCAGCTTCGATAGAATGCAGCTGCTGACAAAACTATGCTGCCAAATATCAGAGGTACAGCAGTGTCAACAAAAAAGGCAGCCCTTTTGCTTCTTTTTGTAAGAGAAGGAGATGCCCTGTTCAGAGCGCTTTGGCTTGTTGCAAAGATTATGAGACACAGCTGCGAATTGTGCACACGAAGCACTTTGAATGCTTGAAAACTCTACAGATGCAAAGTTTTCTTTCCAATTTTCTCCCCCTTCTTTTCCTTCATCACTTAAAGAAGTCTCATAGTAAAGCAGACCTTGCACTACACATTTTGTATAAAGTAGCAAAATTTGCCTTACCTTGGGCAGAAAGGCTTTGATCATCAGGTACATACTGCGAACATTGACATTCATGGTGAAGTCCCAGTCCTTTTCGTCACAATCCAAAATTGTCCCATGATGGACAAATCTGGTACAGATGGAGACATGGGTTGGGGGAGGAACATGGACTTTTACTTTGACATACATGGTGTTCAGAAGGACAGGGCAGTGAATTTTTGGGGGCCTTGCAGCTACTAGAGCCACAACTTCATCTTCAAGGCCAGACATTTACAACTGTACATACACAAGGGTTGCTTTCATATCTACAAATATATGTAGATTTCCTACCAATTGAAGTTTTGAGGCTTTCCTCAAAGAATCTTGGGGATTAGACTTGAGTAAGAAAGCTGAACTTTCTGCATTAGGAGAAATGCTTAGTTTGATGCATATCTATTCAGAAGTAAGCCCTACAAATTTCAACAAGCATTACTCGGGCATTACTCCAGATGTGTTACCCTCCAGATGTTTTAGAGAAGAATTCTCATCACAACATTGCTTGTGCCAGCTGGAGCTAAAGGAAAGTTGAAATCCAAAACATCTTGAGGGTACCAATTTGGGAAAGTCCACTAAGTGGAAACGAAAGTTAAATCTGTGCGTTACATTTGCCTGAATTTCCCCTCATTTCTGTCATACAACTCTTCTTTTTCATTGGGACCATAACAGTGAGGATGTATAATAAAGCTACACACCACAGTCCCAGAAAATTATAGTGGCTGTTTACAGCAGACTTGGAGAACCTGTCGTCCTCTGATCCCAAACCTTTGACCATGTTAGTTGGCAAATGAAAGGAGGAGGTACTAGCTGTCTTAAATGTCATCATGGATTTAATGTCACATCTAAACATGGCTCTTAGAATGGCTAAGAACATTAAGAAACAGAGGTCATTGCAGATGGTTCTGGAAATACCCAATTATCTAGCACAGCTGACAGTACGCATGAAGGAAATCTATGACTTACGCGAATATAAAAAGAATTTTTTTTTAGATATGACATTGCAAATGGAAGGTCATTTAAAATGTGAAATATCTACCCTGCAATGTTACATAAAACGTCAATTTTCTTCACTTCCTTGGCCAGCTCTTCAATTTGTCCTTTATTGGTGACATCTAGCAAGCGAATCTGGATGCCTGTTAAGAACATTAACATAGTATATGCTTTGATATTGATCATTACATTCAATAAGATGAGTTAGGTTGCAAGTCCAAATGAGGAATATGTATAACCACATGAATCACTGAGTCACGGTCTGCAGAATATTTAAGCCACTTTGACAAATTTCCTCTATGCAAAAGGGTATGGATTAGAGATGGGCATGGATGAAGTCATGCCCCTTTGTGCGAAGTCCTCTGTGCAGCAGCACAAGTTCTGTGTGTTCCCTCCCCCCCACTTCCCAGCCAGCTGGACTGGCTGGGAATCCATTGCCTGCTTCTGGGGTTCTCCTTCTCCAGCACTGCTCCAGTCCAAGCAGGAGCTGGGGCTGCCCTTCCCTGCCTCCTCCGGCAGCCGAACACTCTTTGGCTGCGTGGAGAGAATCCCTGCACTGCTGCTTCCTCCTCATGCCCGTCTCTGGCATGGATGCATTAAAGCGTATGCATAGAGAATGGGAGCAAGACTTTCCATATGAGACACAGCGTGGAATCCTGAAGACATTGTCAAATTGACTATTCCTACCAACAAGAATGCATTTATAAATATTTGGGTTACAAGTTATTTAATTTCTGCAAATTTCTGTTTTGCTGAGTAATACAAAGATGGTATAAGACACTAAGTTCCAACCATTATGACACGTGGGCACTTTCCACTGAATCACAATGAATAATGCCCTTGTTCTGAAAACATCAGGGTGGCAGAGTGGATAAGACATTTCACTTTGGATACTAGAGACCTCCGTTCCAAAGTGGCTTGTTAAAGCCTGGCCCTCCGGGAGGGCTCACCGATCGCCTCAGACTCATCAGGACTGCTGCTCGGGGTCACATTTGCCTGCCCTCACAGGAGCAGTGGTAGCTGCAGCTGCTACTACTGTCTGACCTCTCTGGAACCCTGTTGGGGCCTATTCCCCTATCATCTGGATGAGGGGGCGAGCACGCAATGAGCAGTTCCTTACTTTCACAATTTATTTATACAGTGGACCCTCTACTTACAGAATTAATCCGTATTGGAACGGTGGCTGCAAGTCGAAAAGTCTGTAGGTCGAATCTCCATTGACCTACAATGCATTGAAAACCGATTAATCCCACAACTGGCAGTTTTTATTCTATTTTTGTTCCATTTTGGTTTTTTTCTGGTCTCTAAGTCGATTCTCCGGCTGGAAGTCGAATCTAAATTTTGCGGCCAGAGAATGCTGTAACTCGAAAAGTCTGTAAGTCGAGCTGTCTGTAAGTCGAGGGTCCACTGTATACTGCCTTGCCCAATCTGATACCCAGAGGGAAGAGGCAGAATAATGTAAAATGGCGGTTCATCCTTGCCACCACCATAATTTATTTAGAGTGCCTCTATACGACCCAGTTGTAGCAGTCTGGTGCCACTTTGTCATGGATCTTTCCTGTGGAATCCTGGGATTTGCAGTTTGGTGAGGTACTTGGAATACTCTGGTAAAGAGCTCTAGTGAGCATCGCTAAAACTGCAGCAGAGTCTAAGTCTCTCACCAAACTACAAAACCCAGGTGTCCACAGAATTGAACGACAACAATTAAAGTGGCATCAAACTGCATACTGTTACTCTCCTTGAATACACGTGTGAACAATAACAAGGAGCAGCAGCAGCTGTCTCTACTTGCAGTAGGTAAGCAGGCAAAAATATGAAGAAAGGGCCAGAGGAGGAAAGGGCAAAGAGGCATAAATCTACAGAGATGTGGTTCCAAATACTGTAACTCAAGGAATACCTGCATTGCCTTCAAGTTCTCGGAGATTTGACTCATTGATATCAGTAGCAATGACTTCTGCTCCTTCCTTTGCAAAAGCCTTAAAAAAAAATACAATCAGCTGTTAATATATAAAGATATTAAACCATGGACAATCTCTGATTTATGACTGATTGGCTGGTTTGATATTTTCTTGCATTGAGCAATGACCAAAGCTGGCTTGGACTGATGTCCAAGTATAGCCCAACATACCTGAAGAGAAGATTAGAGAAAGCTGCTAAATATAACTGGTTTTATTTTGAGTGCAAGACTTTCCAAATCAAAATGAAAGACCTAGGTTCCATTTTTAATATTCATAGTTATAGTCCAGAGTTAAATACTTGACAGAGAAAGAACAGAAAATAAATATACTAAGAGTACATTTTAGTGTTAAGCTGTGCAATTAAGTAGTCAAAATAGGAACACAGAGAAACAAAAGGAAGATTTAGAGCTGAGTATGTTAGAGCTGAGTCTCTGCTACAGTATTTTGTTTCAGGGCCTACCATTCAAAACATAATTCTCAGTGGTATATTATTCAGAAACCGGTAATGGAAACTAGCACATTATACAATGAATTCCAGGTGTTCTCATAGCAATTTTAAAAGGCTCTCTTGTTACTATTCTTGCTAATTTCAGAAAGCAGAATTCAAGTTGTTACTTTCGTAGGTCTTTTTTTTCTAGAGAGAGGAGCATAATGACTATTGGCAGAAGAAACTAAGAGCCTGATGTTTCCTGTCTTGCTAAATATTCAGGACCAACTTTCAACTTCTTCATGGTTTTGTATATTTCAAACCTGCCCCAACATTTATTTTCATACAACTGTGAATGAACTCCAAATATACTATTATTATTACTTGTTATTATGTGCCTGCAGGTTGCTGACCCCAAGAATCAGTGATCTATAAAGTCCTGCCATTAACAGTCCTGTTCTGGCCTAATATACCAAAGTCCGAGTCTTCCAATCCAGTGGTTCTTAACCTTGGGCTACTCAAGTGTTTTTGGACTGCAACTCCCAGAAGCCTTCGCCACCAGCTGTGCTGGATGGGGTTTCTGGGAGTTGCAGTTCAAAAACACCTGAGTCACCCAAGGTTAAGAACCACTGTTCCAATCCATCTCATGTCCTATTTTCCTGCTGCCGTCAACTTTTGCCATCATTATTCCCTTTTTACACGAGTCTTGTCTTTTCAAATGTGAGAAGTGTTCTATCACTTCTATGGAACAAAAGCAGTGCATTTGGTATAAAGAAAGTGTACTTTTGGTGTCACTTTACACATTGTTTACAATCAGCCATGTTGCCATCACTCTGATCAATGATATTTCTCCTTTTGTTGTTGTTGCTGCTGCTGAAAACAATTGCATAAGTCTGCCAAAGAGAGAACCTACTCAACATATCCACACTTACTATTGCTGCAGCTCGGCCGATTCCTTGTGCAGCAGCTGTCACTACGATTACCTTCCCATCTAGCCGCCCCATGGTGCATCCTGTAAAGGGATTGATAACATTATCCATAACGTTTCGTAAACATATGAAAAGTTTGCTTAATTTAAAAATAAATGCACAGTTCGGAGCCAGTTGTGGCTCTGCCATTAGGTAGCATAAAGCAACCCTCAGGCAGCCAAGGCTTGGCCTTGTCAGGAACACAGTTCCAGGTCACACACCAGCTGTAACTTCCTGTAAAGATGTTTTGCAAGCCTCTTCCACCACCACCCACTAACTTTCCACAAGAAACCTGGAAGGAGGTTCCTATTCAATCACATTATCTGAAATAAGATGCAGGAGGCTACCAGCAGTCTTAAATAACTTTTTCTTGGAATACATCAAATGACAAAATCTTTGGTGCAGAAATGACCGATTAAGAGAAGTTTGCCTCCATTCTTTCTGTCTCACATAACCCAAAAAAACAAACAAACAAAAAAAGGCGGAAATAGTGGCTGAGCTCTCATGCTTCTAAACCACAAGTTAATCTTCTTGCATTTGAACCACTGTTTAAATCCAAAAGTAAACGGGACAGAGATACTCACTGCAGAAATCCAGCGATTGTGCGTTTGGGAGACCTTTGACCAGGGGGCAGGGTCTCTTTTTCTCACACCGCATGCTGGGAATCGTAGTGAGGAGAGCTGGCAAATTACTTTTAAGAACTCATTCCTGTGTTAGGTTATAGGCTGCCATCTAGTGAGAGTCTGTGGTAAAATTAGCTGGCAAACATGCTGTAACAAAAAAGCTTATGAAGCAAGAATGAAGGTCCATGGGACAATTTCTAACAGAACTAGCAAGCAACCAGTTATATATAACTCACCATTTATGCTTCTTTGTTTCCCCTAAGAATAAAGGCACAATGCAATCACAGTGCAAAGATAATTCAATTAAGTTGGTTCATGTACTGAAGGGTTCATTCTCTTCCTTGTGCACTTAACTTTTAACTCCTTGAAATACGGGGTATGGCCTCCCTCAACAGTGGAGATGGATGATCACCTGGTCTGTGTACTGGACTAAACTATTTCTTAATTTCTTTAGCGTGCTGGCATTAGAAAGAAACACCTAGAGAGTAAGTTTGATATCACAGGACAGTGGTTTGCAGCCCTGAGATTTTATAAGTCATTAGAAGTAACTAAATACTTTCAAAATATGTGAAATTAAAGAGCTGTTTTTTTCAAAATGTGTACTTATACCTGTAGTTAAGTACTTTTCAAGACATTCACTGTGGTATAATTGTTAGACCCTGAGATGTTGGACCCTGGGAAGTTGAAACAGGAAATGGGAAATCCTGTTACAAGCCTGCACTTGGTCACGAAATTCCTGGGAAGATGTCTGCACAGTCATTCTTTCTCAGACTGGCCTACCTCATAGAGTTGTTCTTGTTGGGAGTTATTGCAACCTCACATGCTGCCCTTAGTAAGTTTGCCTGGGAGGGACCTTTCTAGGCTGGGGTGACTGTCAATCTATCCAGTACTAGCCAATCATTCCTTCTCTGCCTCTAATTCAAAGAGAGACGTGTTTCTCTGCTAAGAGCTCCACTTCTCTGCCTCTAATTCAAAGAGAGACGTGCTTCTCTGCTAAGAGCTCTGTTAAGGGAGTGTGCGTCTGTGACTTTATCTTGTCTCTCGCAGAGTAAAGAGCAGATAAACGCACACAACAGCTTCTTCTTTTCAGCAGTGTATTTACAAAATATATACAGGATATACATACATACAGCACTTCAGTGGCTCAGTATTCAAACCAGCAGCATTACATGCAGACATCAATATACAGGAGAAGAGGAAGACTGTACAGAGTTCATTTCTTAAATACAATTCTGGCATCAGTCTGGTCCAATCCCGTCTAAGGTGACTTCATGCACACAGGTGAGGCAATCTTCATATTGCAGAGAATTGCATCAGCCAGGGATGAAGGAATGACGTCATCTTAATCTTGTTCTGCACACACACATATTATGTTCAGGCTATATAAAAATTATATACCTTAACAAGCTCCACCCCCACCCCCTTATCTGCTGGCAGTTAGTAGGCAGTCTGTTGAAGCCTCCTGCTGACAGTCAGTTAGCCATGTTGTTAGCGTGCTGTAGATCTGTTCAATTGTAAGTAAAGAATCATGTTTTATTCTTTCTCCACCTAATGTCTCAGGCAGTGGTCAGGGAACAGGGGTGAATTACCCCAAATGGGGTAAAAGTGAAAATCCTGGGGGAATTGAGCAAAGTGCTTGTCTGGATTGAGTTTCAATTTATTAATCCTCATCCAGTCCATTATCAGGTCCAGACATGAGTTCAGCACAGAAATATATATCTCTTAAGCTCACTGGAAGAAAAATATAGAGATTATAAACCCCTAAATAAATACAAACTATAAGTGTAAATAATTACTTTTCTAAAGGAACTTTCCATACACTGGAATAGCTAGAATTAGTGTCGACAACAGAAGTGATACACCAGGCTATATTAGATTAGGATGATCAATGATCAGATGTCCCCATTTTCTGAGAGAGGTGGAAGATGCAGTTTCTAAAAGTCATCCAATGGAGCGGAATTCATTACAGTGGTGCCTCGCTAGGCAGTTATCCCGCATGACAGTTTTTTCACTAGACATTGACTTTTTGTGATTGCTATAGCGATTTGCAAAACAGTGATTTCTATGGGGGAATTTCGCTGGACAATGTTTTGTCCCTGCTTCGCGAATTGATTTTCGCTAGATGACGATTTTGACAGCTCCCTCCACACTTGCAAAACAGGTGTTTTCGGGACCTAAGCTTTGCAAGACAGTGATTTAAACAGCTGATCGGCGGTTCGCAAAGCAGCTTTCCTATGGCTGATCTTCGCTAGACAACGACGATTCTTCCCCATTGGAATGCATTAAACAGGTTTCAATGTATTCCAATGGGGAAATGCTTTTCGCTAGACAATGATTTCGCTAAACAGTGATTTCAGTGGAACGGATTATCATCGTCTAGCGAGGCACCACTGTATGCACATGCTAGGGCACTTTAGTCACCGCCAAGGCTGAATTTATGTAATAAGAATATCCATGTACAGGCTGTGAGTAGAAACCTGTGTATAAAGTACCACCCTGGCAGAAGGATAGGCCACTTTTGACAAGATGTTTGGCCTTTGGGTCACTGGCAGGGGTGGTGAGTTTTGGCACTTCACAGTATTTGAATGGAGTCCTAGGCATTGTCCTCTTTCGATGTTTACCTGTTGAATATGTTATGCATATGCCTGGGTTAGGGTCACACACGTGAGCAAAGGTTATTAGCATTTGAACGATTGGCAGTGCTTGGGGTGTGTTCTGGAACTTACAGTACCAAAAAAAAAGAGTAAATGTTTCCAAGATTCACCTATAATACCATAGAATATGAAATTAGATTGTACTGAAACCTTAGTGTATAGATAGGCTTTGACTGGTTTGGGGAAGGAAAGGAGCCAAGACTACTTGCAAAGCAAGGAGATAGGCTTTGACTGGTTTGGGGAAGGAATGAAGCCAAGACTACTTGCAAAGCAAGGACGGTTTATGGTTTGATAAATTTAAGAATAAATCAGCTGGTTTTACCACAGCCAATGGGATTTTCCTTACCTCTTCTGGGATTAAGACTTGTCATTCATTTTCTTCTTTAGAGGCAAGAGGGACTGAATAAATTAAGCTGTAATTTCGGGCCATTTCCCAGGCTGTACACTCAAGACAACAGCTTTCTGCTACTAATGAAAGATAAAGGGAACGATAAAGGTTTGGTTAAATAGCTCTGCCAGCAGAAGGGGAGAGAAAGCCCTGTTGCTATGGCTACTAGTGATGATGGCTAAACAGTACCTTTAGGGTCACGGAAGGTAGGTCTGTGTATACCAGTTGCTGGAGAACACAACCTGGAAGACATATTTTAGGATTTCCAAGGCCAGATAATCTGATTCAAGCATGGCATTGGTCTAGCATGACATTTCTCGTAATTATGTGCCATGATGTTATTTATGATATATTGTGACTCTACAAATTAATGGCCTCCAAAACCTCCCTGCCCAGGTCTTCCAAACTAAAAGCTGTGGCTTCCTTTTTTGATTGGTCCATCTTCAGTTAGATCTTCCTCTTTTCCTGCCACCTCCCATGATTCCCAGCCGTACTGTCTTTTCCAGAGAGTCTTCTTATGCTATGTCCAAAGTATGAGGGGTTATTGTCAAAAAATGAGATTTTCCAAGTTCCAAGCTTCTTATATATCGAAGTCTGAAGGGAGAATAATAAAATAACGGAGTGAGGGGCTATAAGGCCATTGAGTCCAACCCGTTGCTCAGTGTAGGAATCCAAATCAAAGTACCGTATTTTTCTGTAGATAAGGCGCCCCCCCTTTTCTAATCCAAAATTAAGAAATCTAAGTGGGGCTTAGCAAGTGTAGGGGGAAAGGGATCAAAGCGCTGCAGGATCACTTTGATCCCTGCTTTCCCCTCCACTTGTTTTTGTTCTCTCATCAGCTTACTTCCGTGTATAAGACGACCCCCAATTTTTAGTCTAAATATTTTAGACAAAATATAGTCTTATACATGGAAAAATACAGTAGATCTGACATATAGTTGTTTAACTTTCTCTTGGATATATCCAGTGTTGGAGCACTTGGAACTTCCTGAAAATTGGTTCCATTGTTGGTACTGCTCTTAAGTGTTAAGAAGTTGTTTCCAGCTTCCTGTAACTTGAGCCCATTATTACTGTACGTGTCTTGCACTCTGATGACTGAGAATAACTCCTACCCCTCTTCTCTATGACAACCTTTCAAGTATTTGAAAAGTGTTATCCTATCTCCCCTCGCTCTTCTTTTCTCAAGGCTAAACATGCTCAGTTCTTTCAGTCTTTCCTCGGGAAAGAAAGAAAAGGAAGCCTGAACTAACAAGCCATGTGGGGAAAGACCAACAATCAGTTTTACAAGAACGCTGTAGAAAGATGACTTCAGTTTGAACAATGCGATCTCAGTGCAGTGGCTTTTATTTATAAATTTTTTAAAAATGCAATACAAAATAGATCCATAATAGATAAAACCAGAAAGAAAAAGGAAGGAAGGAAGGAAGAAAGGAAGGAAGGAAGGAAGGACAATCAAAAGTCAAAGACAAGACAGTCTGTGTCCTTAATAGAAACAGGATGGTACCAACTCCAGCAGCATTGTCCCTCAAGAATCTCTAGAATCCACAGATGAACCAGATTTTTATTGTGTCTTGCAGTTTTTAGCATCATCTTTATTTGCAGTTGCAATCCAGTGCTTCAGAGTGTTTTCTGATGATTCTGCTCTTGTAGGTCTTCTGTCTGTTGGAGGCAAAAACATTTGTTTTAATAATAATAATAAAAATAAGTGCAATCAACTACATGCTTTCAAAACAGTATTTAGTATGGCCAGAAGAAAAACATTGGTTCAGAAAACATGGATGGGAAAGAAGCCCTTATTACAAACTTCAGAACACTGTGCTAGCTTCGTGAATGAGCTTGTAATACAAAAGAGCAATAAGCTGAACTTACATCTTTTCACACAACTTGTTGGTCATTTACTGATACGAGATGGTTTGCAGTTAAACAGAGCCACAAACAGATACAAACAGACCTCAAAATACTCCTTACATTAGGGAGGTTAGTGAAATTTCAAAATTGCATTGAAAGTAGTGCTGTTTGTAGAATTTCACTGCAAAGATTAGCAGAAATAGCTGCATCGGGTTGTGTTGCAAGTTTAATACAAAGTATGTTCAAATACCCATCACATCTTTCAAAAGATGCTGCTGTCCTGGATTTGTGTATATTTATAAACTATTTTGATCAAGATTTTAAAGCAAGGTACACAAATAACACTGAACATATACATGCCGTATTAATGTTGTTTATGAAATAGATGGTTGTTGTTGTTTAGTCATTAAGTCATGTCCGACTCTTCATGATTCCATGGACCAGAGCACGCCAGGCCCTCCAGTCTTCCACTGCCTCCCGGAGTTGGGTCAAATTCATGTTGGTAGCTTCGATTACGCTGTCCAGCCATCTCATCCTCTGTCCTCCCTCTTGCCTTCACACTTTCCAAACATCAGGGTCTTTTCCAAGGAGTCTTCTCTTCCCATGACTTGAGGGTTAAACCCTGCTTCTCAAAGAGACTTATGGAAGTCTCAGAAATTGAGTTGGTCTTTTCTACCCCTAGGACTTTAAAAAAAATCCTCTACTGTGCTCATTTCATTTTCAAAGCAATCAGTGTTTACTGTGCTTAATGACAAGAAGCTTGGTCTAGAGATCAGAGAAGTTATTTTGGAGGATGACTCTCTTAAAACATTCCACATCTTATTCTAAATATTCCCACTGGTCCTAATGGATGGGAAATTTTGTAAATTATAGTAACAAAAGCAATTTTTCCAAGCTCTGGACCTATGAACGAGGTCGAGGCTCCATTTGCAAGTCAATGCCACTTTTTGCCAATGGAGCCGTTCATAAATGGCTCCCTGCAAAAAGGCAGGGAGAAAGGGCTGGAAATTCAAATTTCCCACCCTTTCTTCCTGCCTTTTTGCCTTCAGAGCTCTCAAAGGGCTTCCCGATGTGGGGGGGGGGAGGCCCTTGGAGAGCTCTGAAGGTGCCGATCGCAGCGGCTGGGACCCCCAGGGAGGTCTCCCAGGGCTTGCCTGCCACCATGGGAGACCTCCCTAGGGGTCCCTGCCGCTTTCCGATGTCGGGCGGAAAGCCCTTTGAGAGCTCCGAAGGCAAAAAGGCAGAGAGAAAGGGCTGGAAATTCTAATTTTTTGCCTTTGGAGCTCTCAAAGGTCTTCCTCTAAAGTAATTCTAATCCAAGGGTGGGCAAAAGCCTTTGATCTGCCTTTTTGCCTTCGGAGCTCTCAAAGGTCTTCCTCCAAAGTAATTCTAATCCAAGGATGGGCAAAAGCCTTTGAGGTGTTAAACTACAACTCCCATCATGCTCCCATTATTATTGACTAGGTCTGCAGATCAGCATCTGAAGGGCAACACGTTCCTCACTGATTCTAATCCCAGAACAGATGGGAAAGAATGGGCCAATAGACCAATTGAATACTGGAAAAATTGAGCTATTGTCTACTACCTTTTGAATCTGGATAAGGGAATTCACCGGTGCCTGAGCATCTGAAGCTTCAGATGTCTTACAGCCATGATTTATTAAAGACAGACCCTGAAGGCTTTTACATAGTTGATTAGATGGCATTAACTTCATTCGGTTAAATGACAGGAATATATTTCCTTTGAAGTTGGTCTTACAAGTAAATGACACCTTTAATTACCTGTCGAATTTCCTTGGCGTGGATCATCAAAGAAAGTTGGCCAATTCAATGCTGTAGCAGGAGGAGTATCCAGTGGCAAAACGGGCCTCAGAGACTGTTCCTTGGAGGGAGAACATGGCACTTCTGGGAATGCGGCTGGTGCTGTTCTCCTGGGAGATTTCAGCCTTTGCTCCTCATCAGTGCTTCTTGAGGCCTGCTCCCTTCTCTTCAAAGCTCGCTCCTTCCACTTCTTTATCTCTTCTTTCAAGGTAAGCTCGTTCCTTAAAACAGAAACAAGGCCCAATTTAAAAAAAAAACACACACACCAAAGTCCCTTCTTGTTCAAAATTAAGGCTGTTACCCCATTTTCCAAAAACACACTTTTTACAAGCATTTGGAAGCTGAGTCATGGCAACTGGACTTCTTTCTTGTTAGGTTGAAATGTTTCGCTACTCATCCAAGAAGCTAATAGGCTGAAACGTTTCGCTACTCACCCAAGAAGCTACTTCGATGAGTAACAAAATGTTTCAACCTAATGAGAAACAAGTCCATGAGTCAACTTCCAGATAACCTCCCCTGGATGACTGAGAATCTTCACAGATGTATTCTTACAAGCATGAGGGAAAATTTGGCATTTAGCTAATGGGAGATGGCTTAGGTCATACAACACATGTTCTTAGGAATCATGGCGACCTCCAGAATAGAATTTTGGGAGCCATCATTCAAAAGAGTAGATTGTTGAACCTTGGGTTCAGTTTAAGGTTAAAACCTGTCCCAAAGACAGACAACAGTAGCTTGAAAGGACCAAAATATAATGCCATTATAAATCTTAGTAAGCCTGTCCTGGTATCCAAACCCCATCAAGCCACATCCTATGGATTGCTAGGCCCAGATTTTTAAATCATTGGCAGGCCAGCACCTTCTAATCAACCAAACTCATAAAGAGCTTATTTGTCTTGAAACAAACTCATATTTTATGACTAACAGAATCAGAGCTCAAAGAACAGACAAGGAATTATCTTGACAAACGGACTTCTAGCGGATTTTTAAGACTTACGCCAACACAAGGTCATATTCTTTCTTGAGCTGACTGTATTTCTTTTCCAGTTTCGCATGCTCTGTTTTCAACACCAGGACCTGTGTGTTCTGGACTATTCCACTTCCACCACCACAAGTAATTGGCAAGGAGGTCTGAGGAAGATCTTTGCTTGCTATTACTGAAAAAAAAAGTTCACAAGTAGTCTATTAGGAATCCAAAGGAAAGTACCACATTGCCTGCCACTGCTCGAAGGGCAGATGATAACAGAACTGCATAAGGACCCTGCTTTACATGTCTCCTAGTAGATATTATTCCAGACACCAATGGGAAACATCTTTTGAGGTCAGCAAATTGGAATAAAAGATACAATTTGAGGTGAAGCCCATAAGATACACAAATTGAGCCTGAACCTTTCGGTGAACAATTCTGGATTTCCAAAACGTATGAAACTTTGAATATGACTGTTCAGGTTTAACACAATTTAAATGTACCAGGAATTATGTAATCTAATCAAAAGAAGCATTTAAATACCTTTCATGTAGAGTGTTATCAAGTGGTTGTAAAGTCCTTATCCGCAGCTTGGGATTACATGAAAACATCTGTGAACTCCAACTGTACTAAAGAAGTAATACTGCAATTTATTTTACTCTAGTACAGTGGTTCCCAACTGTAGGTTATCCAGATGTTCTTGGACTTCAACTCCCAGAAACCCTGCCCAGCACAGCCGGTAGTGAAGGCTTCTGGAACTTGCCGTCCAAGAACACATTTGGGTTACCCAAGGTTGGGACCCACAGCTTTAGAACTGCCTACTTCATCACTATGTCATCATCTTCTTTCTAGAGGTCTACACCTTAGAAACATGCTTGATGCAACCAGAAGTTGTCCCTGCCTGTTTAATGCTTACCTGTTACATCCTGTTCTTGTTGCACTCTGCGAAGTTCTTCCTTTAATTTTCTTAACTGATCTTCTCTGTGTTCTGCAAGGGCTTTTGCATTCGCCATTCTAAAGACATTAGCACAGTATTTGATTAAGCTCACCAATAGTACCATTCTGCCTCTTGTAGCAATTTCCATTGGGCAGACACATTAGTCTGCTGGAACAAAAACAACAAAGAATTGCACGGTGCCTTTTAGACTAATAGTGCTATTGTGCAATGAACTGTCATGGATGCGGAGGAAATGGGCCATGTCCATAGAAACTTGTACTACAATAGATCTGTTAGTCCTAAAGGTTACTCCGCATGGCTATTTGTTGTGCTGTCTTTTGCTTATAGAAAAGAAATTAAAGCTGCAGCATTATATAAACAATCCTTAGAGTAAGCCTCATTTAACTTCTAAATAGGCATGCATATGCTGCAAAAAATATATGCAGTAATGGCCCTCTTCAGCTGGGGCCAAAGGGATAGCATTCCAGCATCTCATTTGCCGCTGTGGGAAAATAGGAACACTTTTTAGACAAAAAAGAAACACCTAATATACTACCTTCACCGGTCTGGCATAACAGTAGCAACCATATTAGTCTAAGGCAGGAACAAACTATCTGTATGGGATCTTGAAAGTGTAACAAATGTACAGTGGTGCCTCGCACAATGATTGCTTCATACAATGATGAATTCACACAGCGATGGGTTTCTTTGAGGAATTTCCCCCATCATTTAACGATGTTCTCTATGGGGGAATTTCACTTAACGATGTCCCTTTTTCGCTCCTGTAAAAGAGTCTTAAACTGTTAGAAACCTGTTTTAAATGCTTGCAATCGTTAGCCCACCTCCTGACCCCTATGCAAACTTAATTTGGTGTTGTTCTGAGTCGTTGTTAATATTTGGTGATTTTTTGAATTCTCCATTGAAAGCCTTTGAATGGTCCGTATACAACATCACAGGGTAAGGTGACATCCTTGACTCCCTGCTGGAGGTACTAGGTTGAATTTCCCATTTAGCAGTTCAGTTCCGCTCTCTTCCTTCCCTTTACAGAGGAATAGGAAGGATAAGCGAAGCACCATCAACTAATCTTTGCCTCTGCCAGCTAAGCAAGCCCTGACCTGATCATGACTTAGGACCAGCTGACTGTGCTTCAGAGTCATGCTACAAAAAAGGCAACATTACATCCTTCATGAGAGGTTTTAAAATAGAGATTGGATGGCCATTTCTCAGGAACACTTTAGTTGTGGATTTCTTGCACTGGATTGTTTGTTTGTTTTATTCATAGGCCACCTTTCTCCCGATAAGCGGGCTCCAGGTGGCTCACAATATTGAAAGGAAAATAATTTGAAACAAATGTTAAACATAAAAAAACCAATTTAAATATATACTAGTTAAAATGCAATTGAATAATTAAAAGCGAGTAAACATTTAAAATCATCTTAACTCTAAGAATGCATTCAGGGGTTCAATCGTGAATTGAAGCTCTGTGAGGAATGACTGAAAAAACTGGGCATGTTTAGCCTTGGGGAAAGAAGACCGAGGAGATATATGATAGCATTTTTCAAATACGTGAAAGGTTGTCATACAGAGGACAGGCAGGATCTGTTCTCAGTCATTCTAGAGTACAGGACATGTAATAATGGGCCCAAGCTAAAAGAAGCCAATTTCAGTTGAGTATCAGGAAAAATTTCCAAACTATTAAAGCAGTATGGGAATGGAACCAGTTACTGTACCTTGGGAGGTAGTGAGCACTCCAAAGCTGGAGGTGCATTCGAGAGGTTAGAAGACATACTGTACTTTGATTTGAATTCCTGCATTGAGCAGGGGGTTGGACTTGATAGCCTTATAAGCCCCTTTCAACTATGATTCTATGAATCTCAAGATCTCTTTCAACTCTACAATTTCACAGTTGCATGCATGATACAATTCTGTAGACATTGGAATGTCTTTGGCTAGGGAGTGAGGCTTCTGTCTGCTCCCTGAATTAGGAATTCACTTCGAACTTGTTAATTAGCAACTATTTGCTGCTAAGTTACGCCAATGCACTTACACAGATGTAAATATATATTAGCTTGGACTGGCCATTATGCTCCTTGTAAACCTCACTGGGGTGTTTGAGTAGCTGGACAATGAAACACATCTACAGTACCTGACCACAAAAGGCTGTTAAGTGAGACAGGACTTACTCTTGGTCAAAGTATTTGGACTGCTTCATTCGTGCCATATCAGCTTTCACAAGTTGAGTTTTGAGGTCCTCAATTTCCTCTTTGTACAATTCTGCCCCTTTATCTAGTTGCGCCTAAATTGAGAGGGTGATAGAATACATTTTATGAGAAAGGGAGTTGTGATGCATTTCTGTGAACAGACATTCAAAAGGTTATTTTTGAAGAGCGATGAGTTATCAACATGGAATGTAAGAGATGAAAATATCCTATCAGAACTGAACGGCAGCACCACCTTCCTCCTAATATCCAGGGATAAGAGTTTCATTTTACTACAGAACTTCACTTTGGTCTCCAGGGCTTTTGTCGAGGGCGCTACATCTAACTGCAAATCTGAATACAGCAGGACCGCGGGACGGTCTCCAGGGCTTTTGTCGAGGGCGCTACCTCTAACTGCAAATCTGAGTACAGCAGGACAGCGGGATCCACAGGGGATGGGTTCCAAGCCCACCCCCAGGCAGATGCTGAAAAGAGCAGATAAGCAAAGCACTTACTTCGTTTCTTTGGTGTCCGTGCAAAGCTGAGAGAGGGAGCCCTGGCCTCGTCTTGCCAGGGTTTCCTACCCTCCTGGTTCCCTGAACCCAGCAAATGCCACTTCTCCTTTGCCCATCCCCCACAAATACGGTGTCTCCATTTCATCAGAAGTTGCTCCCCTTGGAGACTAAAGCAAGGAGTGCATTTCCACTTAGATTTAGATTAGGCACCCTTCAGTCTTGAGAGACTAGGGTAACATGCTCTGAACAGAGGATTTGGAACAGCATCAAGTGTGGCTGAGAAGGCCAATTCGAGAGTGACAATCCCTTCCACACTGAAGACAAATACAGTCTGTCCCCTGTCTAGCTCCCTGATTTTGTTGCTTTCATGACAGCCGCTTTGTCTTGGCCTGCTGAACAAGAATCTCTTCAAATTGGGAGAGGCCATGATGCATCGCCTGCCTCCAGGATGAACGCTCAGACATCAACGTTTGCCATCTGTCCATTCCTAAGGCCTTCAGATTCCACTTGCAGATGTCCTTGTATCACAGCTGTGGTCTCCCTCTGGGACAATTTCCCTGCGTTTCCACTAAACTAGTGGTCCCCAACCTTGGGTCTCCAGATGTTCCTGGACTTCAACTCCCAGAAATCCTGGCCAGCAGAGGTGGTGGTGAAAGCTTCTGGGAATTATAGTCCAAGAACATCTGGAGGCCCAAGGTTGGGGATCACTGCACTAAACCACCTTTATTTAATATAGGCTCTGGTTCCATGTATTGGCCAGTCCTGGTAATGCATCTTGGGAATATATATTTCTGGATTTGATTGATGGCATTTTTTTTCAGGCAGCGGGTAAGGTACTGACGCAATGGATATGGTGGTCCTACTGTAATAACATACTGTAAATATGATCATGAACCTTCTGGATTTCTGAACACTAGATTTTAATGAAGCCACGTTACCTTTAGTGTTTCTTTCCCTGCCAGTGCACTTTTTAAGCAATTCTCTTTTTCTTCGAGTGCAGCCTGAAGTTTAGCCACCTCACTCTTGGACGTTCTCACAGTAAGTTCTGCTTGCAATGCATATATTCTTTTTTCCATCTGCTGGCGATTTCTCTCAGCTTCATTTGCTCCATTTTCTAGATCTTGGATTTTCCGCTTCAGATTCTTCGGGGGGGGGGGCGGAGGAAAAGGGGGGCAAACAAAACACCAAAGGTTTTTCAGAAGCCACGCAGCCATTTTGGACTTCAAAAGCTGGATCTTATTATTATCCATGGCACTTCAGTTTTGCATACCCTCTTTGAGGAGGCGTCAATGCAGACAAACAATGACAACTGGCCTGATGTCACACCAGGCGGTGTGCAATTTTTCAGAACCAGGCAGTTAATGGAGGGCTGCTGTTTTCATTATCACTCCCATACCATGCAATAAAGTCACCATTTTGGACTACAACTCCTAGTATTCTGCTGCTAGCAGGGTCACTGGTTAGGCAGATGGAGGGAATTATGGGAGCTATAACCCCAAAAGGTAAATTTTCTAAGCTTCGAGTCATACATTACCTTTGACAACTAGTTCTGGCAAATGTCTATCATCATCTTTAATGAGACCTTCTGTCCTTTCCCAATCAACCCCAACCCTCAGAAAATCATCATAGAAAATGAATCATTAGCTAGATGATTTACAGCAGCCCATATGCATGTTCTTAACAGAGCAGATTTTAGCAGTTGAAACAAAACATACTTTTACATCTTGCTCTGCCACTTGTAATTTATTCTGCAGCGTGTAGTTTTCTTCTTCTAGTACAACATTAGCAACATGAGATTTCTGCTTCTCTTGAAGTGTATTCAGTTCCAGAAGCAGCTCCTTGGTTTGTTCTCTGCATGCTTTCAGGGCAACTTCTGTCTCCTTGCAGTATTCAGCATTTCTGCTTTCCACTTCTGATCTTGCTTGAATGTATTCCTAAAATACAACATTATTTTGAATGCCTCTGGCACCTTTGCTTTCCAAAATGGCAATGCCCACGTTTTCTTCCACATATTTCTGAAATGGTTCCCTCCCTTTTTAATCTGTTTTCCATTATACTGTATGTCCTTTCCACACAACTTCATGTGTCATTGGTCCCTGCATCTCATGCAATACAGGTCACTGCTGCATTAATCTGACACAGTTAAGCACCCTGACCCCTATTGTATTTAATGGAATTAAGAAACTTGTATGTAGTTCTACAGCCTGTGCCCAAAACATCCATTACATTTGTGGCATGGGGTTATATATATAAAATATATATATGAAGAAAGAAGCTTTTACAGTAGTTTTGTTATAGACAAAAACAAATAAAGCCCATGTACGTGTAAGCAGAAATACTGAATGGGAAATGTTTTGTATTACAGACAAATACTTTGGCTGGAATCTTCTGCACATTTATGCCAGTGATTCCATCAACAAAACTTTTAGCAGTGAATTGCCACAAGAAATCAGTACAGTAGTGCCCCGCATAGCGACGATAATCCGTGCAGCCAAAATCGTTGCTATATGGATTCGTCGCTATGTGGAAAAAAGCCTATAGGAATGCATTAAAACCCGTTTAATGTGTTCCTATGGGCAAAAAACTCACCGTTATGCGAAAATCCTCCATACGGCCGCCATTTTCGCTACCTGGTAAGCGAGGAATGGGTGCGAAAACACAGCGGGCGGCCATTTTTTTACCCGGCAGCCATTTTGGAACCGCTGATCAGCTGTTCTAAAAACATCGCTATGCGAAAATCGGCAAGCGAAACAGCTTACCGATTATCGCAAAGCGATGTTTTACCATTTAAAACATTGCAATGTGATCGCAAAAACAATTGCAAAAAATCGTCGCTATGCGGATTTGTCGTTAAACGAAGAGCTCGTTAAGTGCTGGAATCTTCTGCACATTTATGCCAGTGTGATTCCATCAGCAAAGCTTTCAGAGTGAATTGCCACAAGAAATCAGTATAAGCATTTCCTGTTGCACACCAGTTCCTGTGACTGGAGTGTGATAAAAAAATGCCTAAACCTATTAAAAAATATTATCTTGCAGCAGTTACACCACTGGGCATAACTAACAGGATTCTGGCCACCAAAACATACAATATTCTTCCTCCCACTCCCCCAGACATCTTTGGTTTTACAGTTGTATCTAAATCTCTTTCATACCTGAGTTTTAGTTTTCAGGAACCGACCCACGGGCATGAGTGTTTCGTTATACTGCTTGATGCCTGCCTCAAAGTCTTGCGCATCAAAGTTAACCAGACAACGTGCCAGCTGCTGCTTGGCCTCTTGACCATCACTTTCCATTTTTTGTACCCGCTCTTCTATAATGCAAAGTTCTTCCTCTAGTTCCGAAATATCTTTCAAGATTTGCTGCATTAAGAGATACAACGGCATAAGTTACTATCCTCCATCTGTTTATACATGCTTGTGCCACATATTGTGTATTTCTTTGCCTATTATACATCACATCAGCAAGGAGCTCTCTTACACCAAGTCACAACTTCGGTTCATCTAGCTCAGCAAAGTTTGCACCAGGAGTGGGGCATCTGGTATCAAGATCATTTTGAATTTTGTTTCTGTCTTATTCCCCCCAATTTTGTGTCATCCACAAATCTGCCAAGCATTCTCTGTACTCCCCTTATCCAAGTCATTAATAAAGGTGTTGAAGAGCACTGGACCCAGGACTGAGCCTTGGGGTACCCCACTTATTACCTCCTCCCAGTTGGAGAAGGAGCCATTAATGGTGTCTTTAGGACAGAGATACATTCAAACAGTTTGCTGCCGGTTCCATTCAGTTTCCTTTGGGCTAGCAAAGATCTGAGTGAATTTCAACAAAAGAAGTGAAGTTATTTCAAATACTTTGCGGCAGCCTTAAGATCACCTGATACACCAGACAAGAAGTTTCAGGAAATGTGGTACCTCTGTGTGCATGTCCAGGCACTGGCTCAGTTCAGCTATGTTGCGTTCTTGGGGCACAACCCCCTGTGGTTCCAAATGTAGTGTTTGGAGACACCGAAACTGAGTCTGCAGCTCATATTGCTTTCTTCTGTCATCAAGCAGCTCAGCTGTGCAAGTGGTGATATTAGTGTAGTATTCAGCCTTCTTCTTGCATAAGCGGGTAAAAAGGAACTGTTGAATACAAGGGGACAGTTTCCAGTCAGGCATGGTTCAGAAGGGGAGCCTGAATTCTGAGCATAGTGAGGTGTCTACTCCAGGCAGCAATTTAAATTGTCATTAAAGGACACATAAGTATTAAAGTTGCCATCACTGAATTTTTTTTCCCCTTTCAGAGACGGGAAAATGTTGGCAGAATTTTTTCTGCCTCAAGTGTGAAAATAATCTTGTGGGTTTGAGATAATATGCATGCTTGGCGGTTCAATAATGTTTGAAGCAGAGCTCTTAATGAGAGTCCTCCACCATCTGAAGGGAAAATGTTTTCACACAGGGAAAATGTTGAGGCCCAACAGGCGTGGCACAGGGCCAGGCCTGAACTGAATGTGTGCCTTACAAAACCTCCACCAAAGCCTCTGCAGTGTTCAGGGTCCCTCTGGCAGGTGTCTAGGGATGCCCAGGTAGAAGAACCATCAATGTGGCGAAAACGGATTAACCCGAACATACTCAGTGGAAAGAGGGACAGACCAGGACTCTGGAGACCTGGTTTGAATCCCTGCTTGGCCATGGAAATTCATGGTGAGGGCACCTCAGAAAAAGAAACCAAATGCACAGTCACAAGATGGGGGATACCTGGCTTAGCAATACTACAAGTGAGAAGGATCTTGGAATTGTTCTAAATCACAAGCTGAATATGAGCCAAGTGTGATGTAGGTGGGCGATTCAACTATGCCTTAAATCTCATTCCCTTGGAAAGCTCTTATTAGGGTCTTAGTTAGTTGGCAGCGATTTGATAGCACATAACACACAGAGTGTGCTATGCTGTACGGTTTCATCATGCATAAACACCCTGCTCCATCACTACAAAGAAGGACCTACAGTACTATCTAAAAATCACTTGATGCACAAAATTATAATAGAATAAGAAAAATATTAAGAGCAAGAGGAATGATCTCTTCTGCCCTCTCATATCACAGCATTTGGTAGGTTAGAGTTTTAATTTGTATGTGAAGATCGGGCAAATTTGGTCTTGGGGTCAGGGGTGATCGGATGTGCCAATGTTACCATGTTACCCAGAGCTCTTATAAAAGGGGATCACAAGGAGGTTCAAAACAGGATGCCTCCAGATAGGGCAAACTGGCAACATGGCAAATGTGATTCAATGCAACTGCAAAATGATGCTTGTTTGGGGGCCAAAATAAAACAAAATCTGAATATATGCACTGACAGGGTCTAGGAAAGAGATCTTGGGTGACACTGATGATGGATTACAAAAACCAATGAAGGATAATTTATTAGTCAGAATGGCTATATTTTCCATCCAGTATCAGAGCCTGTTTCTCAGAGCTTGACTACACAGGGGGGAAGAATGCAGGAAATACTATGAGTTTGGGGCAGGCTGATTTGCATTTCTCACGTTCATCACATGACACAAAAGGAGATGTGAATCAGGCAGGGGTCCTGCAGCCCCAATCCGTAGTTATTTCTCCCCACCAGAGACCCTTCTACTTTTTAAAAAAGATAAATCTCTTCACTTTGGTTAAAAGTGTGGGATTGCTTTGAACTGATGCAGAAAGACCACCAAACTCATGCTCTGGTAAAACAACCTTCTCCTCACCTCTTGGCAAGAGAGAATGAGGTGAGCACACACAAACACAGCTCCAACAGTCACCTCTCTCTGTAAAGCCTATCTCCCAAGCCATTTTCCTCCTTTTTCTACCACCTTCTTCTCGGACAGAGCTCTTGTTTAGTTTTATTTTACAGCTTAACAAACTCTACCAGCAGCAACATAAGATGAGGAAATGAGTGATTTAGGAAGGAAAGCCTTCTTAGGGCATTTTCTTTGAACCATGCCACCTACAGGTGCTTCAAATGGAATTGCAACTAGAAGGCCTTTTTTCTCCTCTGCTTCTGTGTGGCCACTTATACAGTATCAGAGAGAACCAAATGCCCTGGAGCGACTTCACAGTGACAAATTGTGGATTAATTTGCATTTCCCTTGCTGTATGTTCACAGCATTAATGTCCATTGTTGTACAACAAAAGCAGGCTGTCATCTGCCTCTTCCACTTGTATAAACATCTATAAACATCTAACTGGGCACTGTAAGGAAAAGGATAATGGACCAGACAGGATTTGTGCCTGATCCTGCAGGACCTTTCATTTAATATAGGCAATTGTATAGCTATTTCTTCTGCATGTTTCTTTGATAGTATTCAAAACCGGTACCTGGACTTTGTTCAACAAGCTGTGGACACCATTACTAATGGACTCGTGTTCCATGTGAAGCCTTTTGACATTGCTTGCTTGTAGAGGAGACAGGTCAGCCAGTACTTTGGCCAATAGCGATTTCTGATTATCAAGTTCACACTTAATCTGAAGCGATATATTTTTAAAACATTCAGACCTGTTTTCCAGTACAGGGAATTGCTTTAGGGCCTCCTGAAATAAAGGGAAATTGGTTTGAGAGCCAGATGCAAAATCAAACATACTGATGCATTTATAAATGCATACATTTTTCTAAAAGCAATCTGTCTCACTCTCTGGGAAAGACAGACCAAACAATAGTGATCCATGCCTAGAATTAAAGACAGAATATTTGTACTGGAAAGTGTTACTTGCTTTTATAGATTTAAAAAAAGAAATGAGCATAAAAGGACAGAAACTAAAGACATTTGTTCCCATTAAATCTGGTAAATCAGCCATGTTAAAAAACAACAAACGTTTATCAGTAAAATTATTCTATATGTAACATTTCTACGTGCACAAATATTTACCTTTATTTTTAACACTTTCTGTTCCAAGTTTTCAATGTTGTCCTGTTCCTCCACTTTGACATTTATTTCTGAGAACTGAAAAAAGGCAAAAAATGTCTTAGATTGACAATGTTAGCTCAGGAATGACACATTGTGTTCCATATCTAAGATAGTCTGAAATGATGGCCTTGCTGAACGGAGGCCACATTCTTCTGTGAAGGAAAACCCGAGGACATTTCTATCAACCTTGAATGTTATATCCCCTAAAGTTCTAAACGGTTTGGGACCAGGACAGCTGAAAAGACTCCCTTCTTTCCAGTGAGCCTGTCTGGAACGTGCAGTCTTGCTAGAGGGCCTGTAGTATGTCCTTCAACCACAAGAGGACAGATAAAATAGGTACGAGACAGGTCATTTCCTGCACCAGCTTACTGACTGTAGAACAAGATTCCAAGGGGCCGAAGTTGGCTTCATTCCTACTGAATTTTAGGGAAGAAATGTGGCATTGTTTCAGTAGGGGGTCTGATGAATGTTGATGTTGCTTTAGCCTATGTTTAGATAATGTGTGCTGTTTTTACTTGTTGCCACCAAACCAGTAAACAGAAAGACACATCACTTGGAGTTTAGTATCCTGGAAAATCTTCCCTCACATACCTTTGCAGTGTTTTCAAGCAGTCTGGTCTGAAGTTGGTCATTTTCTGCTCTGATATTCTGCACAGTCTGCTGGAGCTCATTTCGCTCTTTCTGAAGGAAGGAGCTCTCCTTCATCAACTGTTGCACTCTTTCTGTCTGATCTTTAAGTTCAGCTAGCAATTGATCCTTTTCACCCATATGCAAACTTAACGCTTCATTCAACTAGCAACAAAAAGTGGTGTACAAAAGATGAATATTGTCAGCTTTCCTGATCAAACTTAGTGGCAAACTGTCAACATAAAAGAAAATATAAACATGTTTTCTTAAGGAGCTGAATTCACTTCTTTCGTCTTCTTAGGCATTTTAAAACATTAGGTTTACCATATTATGTTATGTCCTGTCCAGTCAGAACCAACCTACAGGAACATAATAGAGTTTTCAAAGTAAGTGAGATATATAAAGGAGTGACTTTACCAGTCCCATACCTTCAGTAAATTTCCACAGCTGAGCAGAGATTAGAACCAAGGCATCCTGAGTCCTAATTCATCATCACTCTATCCAGTACACGACAATGGATATCAGGTTTAACGTATACTTTCCTTAGTTCCCCCCCCTTCAGCAAGTATGTATAGTCTACGAGAATAATTTTATTTATTTACAATGTTTATGTGTGCATCTGTGTTTGTCTTCACAATAGTTCTAAGGCTATGAAACTCAACATGGATACTACCTGCTGTGCACCTCAAGGCTATTTGATTTTTTTTTTGAAACTGATTAGTGTTAACATAAATCTAATAGTATCCTGCAGCACCACCTTCAGCACAAGGTGGCAGGAATCTGTAACCAGGTAAGAGGAAATTGCGGTCATTTCCTTACCTTCTCCCTTAACTGTTCTTTTTCTTCTATGTATTTTGCTTCCAGCTGCTGATGCAACTGATCTCTCTCCCCAATCTGGTCCTTCAGTCTGTTCACCTGCTCCTCGCTGGTTTTTGCTTGGGCTCGCAATCTCTCCAGTTCTGTTACAGTGTCCTCAAACTTTAAAAGAATAATAATGTTGAGGTCAGCAGCCAGAAACCCTCAATGAGTAAGTGAGCATAGTAGCTACAAGAACAGAAAGAGAGAAGACAAAAGCACTGCCAATGAAATGGAGGAGAATTATTCTTAAGAGGCTCTCCTAGCATGACTTTGTTTTAGAAAAAGATGCTTTAATAATGAAGGTGCAAAAGGCTGAATTTGAAAATGCCCTTTAAAAGCCAAACATTTTCATACCATTTGCGTCAGGGTTTTGTGAACTTTAGAAGTCAAAGAAGTCTCATCTGTGATCTCTCTCGATTCTTCCATCTCCTTCATGGAATTATTCGCCTGTCTGAGTTGTTCTTGCAGTTCCAAATTCTTTAAGAAAAGCACATGCTCACTTCAGTTATCTACACAGTTTATGCTGAACAACATATTTAGGTATGTTGTAAAAACCAAGACTTACCGCTGTAACTGTTCTCTCGACAGTTTCACCTAGACGATGGATAGTTTCGATCAGGTTGTCTTTCTCATTCTGAAGAGTCTGTAGTGTGGTTTTCAGACTCTCATTTTCCTGGGTTACAGATTTCATACGCTCCACAGTGGCATGAAACCTCTCAGCCAACTCTGTTTTCTCCAGTTCTGTGGCTGCCATTTTGGATTCAACAGTGGCCTTCAGCTCCCGTAGATTGTTTAACTTTTCTTCATCCTGCTGACTCTGCTCCTCTTGCAATTCAAGCTGTTTCTTCAAGTCACATGACTCCTCTAATAGTTTTTGGATCTAAAGAAGGTTAGATTAGAACAATGGATCAAGCAATTTTGTGATTCTGTGTCGTTTTTGAGTCCACTGAGAATGCTGCTATATTAGGGGATTAGCATTGCAGGAAGTTTTATATACACTTCTTGAATATCCTAACTGAAAGATAGAAAATTGCATTGTTCCTGCCAAATGGGGTCACTTTGGGGGTACCCACAGAACATAACTTCTGCTTCTCAGTATTGCAGTTTCCTAAAAAGCTCCTAAGAATTACATACGGGACAAAAGAGTACTCAAATGGTAAAAAAAGTATTTGCTGGAACAGGGCATTTTTTTTAAAATGTAGGCCATTTTGAAAAGCTTATATGGCAAGGGGCTAAAATTTGTGGATTTTTAAAAATCAACTGTGTACAAACGCCACAAAATAGTTCTATGTACTGTATTTTTCTAAGAAAGACACTACGTTTCCCTAAAACCATTACACTAAAAATTGAGGGGCATCTTTTACACAGAAGTAAGCTGAAATAGTTGAGGAGAGAACAAAATGGCACATACATTGCCTCTGTAAACAGGCTTCCCACAGTCATGAGGCTTAGCCTCCTCCAATTACAGCTCTTACGGAACTGACATGGAGGTGGAGCCTATAGGCTCAGATTTAACAGGGACTCCTAAGGTCCGACATTGTGAGCCAAGAGGCTGAATCCTCAAAGCCAAGTTTTGGGTTAGAAAGGGGGTGGATGGGTTCCTTATAAACGGGCTTGTTATAAACAGAAAAATATGGTATATCTTGCCACAAAATGCAGCCGTGTTATAAACAGAAAAATACGGTATATCTTGCCACAAAATGCAGTTTTGGGGAATAGAATATTTAAGTGTTCTATAATACTGCCGAAGGGGGAGGAGAGATGAAAATGATCAAGTCCTTCTGCAGGTTATCTGCTGCCAGGAAGCCCATACGTTAGAGCGTGCACAGCCACTTTTTACTCCTGGATCTGGAGCAAAGCCTTCTCTTAAGAGTTTACAAATCCCCCTGCTATCAGATTAATGCCTGCTTGAATCCATATCTCCTGTTTCACGTCCACAACATGTTCGCTCTCCAAACAGCATTCCTAAACCTGAGTGGAACAGCACCCTGGTTAAGGAAAGAGAAATGCCCCCATTTGTATCTCTCTTCTGCTCAGGGCTAGTACAGCCATCAGTTGTAGGTCAGGCAGCTGTTTCAGGCAGCTAATCTAGGGGGTTGGCAAAAAGACAAACTGTTATCACATCTATTGCCAGCGAATAATATTCATTGTTTTTCCAAGAAATGAGATAAATGCTTGTGAGACATTCAACATTAGATGCAAAATTATCTGAGATGGCCTTCGGGAATTTGACTCACATTATTGAAAAGCTCTAGGTTAACTCTATTCCTTCTTACCTTCAAGCTGGTCTCTTCTTCCAGTTCTCTGAATGCCTTGCTCTCAGTCTGAAGGGCGTCCAACTTTTGCTTCAAGTCATCCTTTTCCTGGATTAGAGCTTTCCTTTCTTCCTCGCTATCACAAAGCCTTTGGGCCATTTCAGACTTCGCCGTTTTTTCAGCTTCTAATTCTTCCTCCAAATGATCCACGGCGTCCTGCTTCAACCGGGATTCACAGAGCTGTTGTTTCATCTCCAGCAACTCTTCTTGCTCCTTCTCTTTTCCTTGGAGCTCTTGTATCTTTAGAGACAGCTTGAAAAAAAAGGGAATAAAAGAGAAGGTTTGTAGTCAGTCATAGAATCTTGTGGCTGTACAAGGCTTGGACTCTGAAGGGGCAAAAGAGAAGCATAGATAGGAAAAATATTTGATAATTTTATTTTTGAACAAGAGTAGGCAACCAATGGCCTTTGGTCTGATCTCGTGTGGCCCTTGACCTAATTTAACATCCACTCTGAAGGTAATCAATTTAGAGTAGTTTGTTCTCTCCAAACTGTCTACAGGGTATGGGGAGAGAGAGAGAGAGATGGGGGAAAGAGAGTGTTGGGAAGAAAGAAGGAAAGAGAAGGAGAAAAACAAGAAATCTGGCCCCATTGTTCAAGAATTCTGCCAATGAATAGCATGTTTTTGACCCATTGATTCTGATCCAGGTTACTTGAATTTTCTAGAACACTGGTTCTCTAGAACATTGGCCCTCCAAATATTTTGGACCTTTCCACACAGAATTCCTGACTGCTGGCTGTGTCAGCTGGCTTAAGTTTGCTATTGCAACTCTCACTGTTCTAGACAACTGTGGATGTTCATAACAGTATGGTCTTAGCGGTAGCATGGACCAAAAGGGACTGAACAAGGCGAGAAAAGTTAGCTGGCTGACCTATTCTTGTAGCTTTGCTAAATAATATATATATGTATCAACCCACAAAATTTCATTTAAAAAACACCCACCACTAATTCTATTCCATATATATAAATGAATTCTATTTTACCGTTGACTGAGTAGCTTGAAGCTCCTCTTTAAGTTGGTCCATCTCCATTTTGAGAACCTCCTGGCTGGCTCTGAGATGATCTCTTTCCTGACTTAGAGCTCTCATTGTGTCTTCATTCTGGTGAAGCTGCTGAACTAATGTCATGTTGTCTGTTATTTCTGCTTCCATGACAGACTCGGTGGTTTTTAATTGTTGTTTCAGTTCTTCCATTTCACTTATTTTCTTCAGAGCTTGTTGGAGCTCTTCTTTTAGATCAGACACGGTAGCCTCTGTTTCTGGCTTTTGGCCCTCCCTGGCAAGCTTAGAAAAGAGGGAGAGAGAATCTCAAAATAATTTGTATTGTTATGCAGCTGTTTGAAGGCTATTTCCAAAAAGCATATAGACCTGGGCAAAATGCAGCCCTCCAGATGTTGCTGAACTGCACTCCCAGCAATCCTAGCCCACACAGCCAATAGTGAGGTCTGGTTAAACACTATTAAATATCAAAGAGCAGTTCAGCGGATCAAATGTCACAAAGTATCTCTTCTGGAGACCTCACTGTAGCACATTACAAATAAGACATGACAATTACCAGCTGGTGCCTTCTCAAACACCGGTTCTTCTCTACTAGTAGGTCCTTGATTACTTGTTCTAGCATTGTTTTCTCCTCCTCAAGAAATAAGATTTGCTCCTTCAGTGACTGGAGTTCATTATTTTCTACTTCGCTTGCATCAGTTTTAGTTAAATTTTTCTCCATAGTGATCTGTTCCAAGTCTTCGGTCAACTTCAGTATCTGGAAGATATCAAGCAGCTATCAGGCAGCAGTTTTCTTCTCCAGGAATTACTGGACTATATCATTTGTGAATGGTCTATATTCAAGATATGCCCTCACTCATTTTCTAGAGTGTTGTGGATAGCCATTTCCATGGGAAGGGAACAACTGGGCCCTTCATGGAAATACAGTGGTGCCTCGCATAACGAGTGGCCTGTTTAACGACGAATCCACATAGCGATGCGGATTTTGCGATTGCAAAAGCAATCGCATTGTGATGTTTTAAATAGGGAAAACATTGTATTGCGATGTTAAATAGGGAAAACATCGCATTGCGATATTCGGTAAGCGTTTCGCCTTCCGATCTCCGCATTGCGATGTTTTAAAACAGCTGATCGGCTTTTCCAAAATGGCCACCGGAAGAAAAAAATGGCTGCCCGCAGCGTTTTCGCACGGTTTCCTCGCTTATTGCAGCGGCAAAATGGCAGCCATATGGAGGATTTCCGCTTAGCAGTGAGTTTATCCCCCATAGGAACGCATTGAAGGAGTTTCAATGCGTTCCTATGGGGTTTTTTGCCCCGTATAGCTACGTTTCCGGATAGCGACGATTTATCCAGAATGGATTATCGTCGCTATGCAGGGCACCACTGTAAAGCGAGAAGCTCCAAACATGTGGGAGCTATCATTACAAATCTCGTTGAGGTAATTTATATATAGTGTGTTGGGTCTGTCCAGCTACCCAATATCTGTGCATGTACCTCTCCTCTCCACTGCAAGTAGGCCACCACCTCTGATGCTTTGTTGTTTCATCTCCTGCTGCCTGTCCTGACAAATGCGATTTATCCAGAATGGATTCTTGACATTTTTAGTCCAGTCGTGTCCAACTCTAGGGGGCGGTGCTCATCCCGTTTTCAAGCCGTAGAGCCAGCAGTTTTCTGAAGACAGTTTCTGTTGTCATGTGGCCAGCATGACTAGGGAACACCGTTTTACCTTCCCACCGAGATGGTACCTATCTACTCGCATTTGTATGCTTTCGAACTGCTAGGTTGGCAAGGAGCTGGGACAAAGCGACGGGACCTCACTCCGTTGCGTGGATTCGATCTTATGACTGCTGGTCTTCTGACCCTACAGCACAGGCTTCTGCGGTTTAGCCCACAGCGCCACCACGTCTTTTGACAAGCGCAGTGCCAGTTAAGTATTATTTGCTTCTACTGTAAGGACTATGGGCAGGTTTTTTAGGTATCTTGCAAATTTTTCCTCAACTGTAACAGTGATGCCTTCTTGCTTTTCAGATGGTTCAGCACTCTTGACTCCCATTCCTCACATTGGTTGCACTGGCTGAGGGCGATAGGAATAAGGAGTCTAGCATCTCATGGAGTTTACCACTATCCTTCAGGAATGGGTTGACTTAACTCAGAAATCCTTGACCATCACCCTCAAACCACCAACAGCACAACCTATAAATCCAGGGGATTTTCTGCCCATTCACACTCTAGACCAATGAAACTCACCAAAGCTTACCTTTTCCAAAATGGGAATTTTATTATGTGCCTCTTACCTGTTGTTTCTGTTCATCAATAGTATTTCCTAGGGATTCTTTGACAATGGAAATCTGAGTGTCTCTCTCTGCAACAGCATCTTCCAGCTCTTTAATATGATTCTGATATTGTTTCAGGGAAGTATGAGTACTTCTCAGTTCTTCCTGTATTGCTATGTTCTTTATGTGCGTGAGAGAAACAAAGAGAAGAAACACATGTACTGGAGTTATTGTTACATGGAAGCTTGTTGCAGTGACACTATGGAACTGTCTATCACGATTTGACAATCCTTTATTTTTACACTGCCTGCTTCAACTTACCTTTGAAACAATTTCTTGCATCTCTGCTTTGATTTGGTCCCTTTCCTGCTCAAGAACCTCCTGGTTCTGCTTCAGCTCATCTCTTTCTTGGGTCAGCACTCCTATTTCTTCTTCACCCTTGTGAAGTCTTTGAGCTATGGCCTGTTTCTCTGCTTCTTCAGCCTCCATTTTGGATTCCAAAGCTTGCAGCTGGTCTTTGACTTGCTCCATTTCACTCAGTTTTTGATGGGCTTCGTCAAGCTGTTCTTTCAGGCTGAGAAACTTCTCTTGTTCCAAGTCCTTCTTCTGTAGTTCTTCGATTTTGCAAGAAAGCTTTATGGTTGTTTTAAAATAAGAGACATGATATATTTAATCAGACTAAAACCAATCGAAGTTTGAAATCCCACAATCCCTACAGTTTCTGTGACTTTCCAAGAAAACTGCCATTCAGCCTATTTGAAAAAAATGGACAGCAGATGAATACATGGCTTGAGAAAAAGTGTACCATCTGATCTAAGCTGTCTTTTCAAACGGAATTTGTTGCTGTTTTTTCAAATGAAAAACCCTACTGTGAAACTAGCTCAGGCTAAATGTCCTATGACATGAATTAAGTGTGCAGCTCCTTTCCTTGCTTGATTACTCTAAGTAACCTGGATCAGGACTACCATGCATAAGGAATGCCCAGCTTCTTCCCTTCTGAAATACAGTGGTGTCTCGCAAGATGATTCCCTCGATGGATGAAAAACTCGCTAGACGAATGGGTCCAGCAAGGTTTTTGGTGCCTCGCAAGACGATTCTTTCTATGGCTGTTTTTCGCATGACGAATGTGCTTGCAGAGGCTAGCCCAGTACCAGTTTTGAAGATCACGCCCCTTTCCCCTGCCTTCAGCAAGCCTCCGAACGGAAAAAGGAAAAAAAAAAGGAAAGCCTTTTTCCATTTGGAGCCTTACCGAAGGCAGGGGGAAAGGGCGTGATCTTAAAAAATGATGCTGGACAAGCCTCTGCAAGCACCACTTGCCGCTCGGAGTGACCCCCACCAGTCTTCCGATGATGCAAGGGAAGCCCCAGGGGACCTCCCTAAGGCGGCGATCTGGGCGAGGGGGCTCCCCCGCCAGTCCTTTGATGGTTCTTCCCCAGCTCCCTAACTGGTGACTTAAAAAAAAAAAAATCCCATAGGAACGCATTAATTAAATTTCAATGCATTCCTATGGGAAACCGCAGCTCGCAAGACGAAAATATCGCAAGATGACATTAACTCCGGAATGGATTAATATCGTCTTACGAGGCACCACTGTATGTTCCTGGCCCTGCAGTTAGAAAATGGGAAAAAAAGGGGGGGAACTTAGTGGTCACCAAAAGAAACTAGTTTTATTTTTTTAACTTCTGGAATGGGCAACCATTATAGAGGGAAATATGAAACTGTTTCACCCCATTCTGGGTGGGGTGCTTCTGAGCTGGAACAGCCCCCCCCCACATTTACTTCAGAGTAAATAATAAAATGGTGAGCTGCATCATGTCTATAGTTGTACTCTATAGTTCCGCTGCAGTAAGATGATATTATCAGCAATGCTGAATCAGACCAAAGGTCTGCCTACTTTAGCCAGGTGCCAACAGGGTACCGACAAGTAGGACCTTAATGGATTAACACTTTCCCACTCATTTCCCCACCAACACTAATATTGCGTAGTTTGACCCTCAGCAACTTGCAAGCTTTTATTTTTATGTTTTCCAGAAACCATATTAAAGAATGTAAGTCAAAACTCCTTCAGGTTCTTGACCATTTAAGGGACGAGATTGCAGTCTGGTGAGAGGCAACACGGGAAGGCCAGCTGTAACACCCAGTGTTCTGTTGGGACTGTCATGTATCAAACAAACTGTGGAAGTGACCATGGCTACTTGGTGATGTGCCTGCTGCATGACCAGGCTCATCATCTAACAGCCATGTCCATTCCTACAACTTCCATTTTGTACGTAATAATCCAAGCAGGGTACTGGTGGTGTTTCCTGGTCTTAGTTCTTTGGGAGGTACCTTAAAGGGCAGCGAGACTACCACTCTCAGGAAGTGCAGTTGTAGCTCCCTTCTTTGTACATTGCAAAAAGGAACTAAGAGCTGGAGCGAGGCCATAGAGCCTCAGAGCCAGGCAGTCCAGGTGAGCAAAATGCAAGTGTTTCTTGAAGGGTGGGTCTCTGGGCTGGAACTCCCAGAATTCTTCCTGTGGAATTTTTGGAGGGCCCAAAAAATTTGAATAGGACATTCCTAACTTCAGGGGTTCCATAGATGGTCACCATTCCTCATTTTCCACCACACCACGGTATCACGGTTTTCCAGCTTTGACTTTTTCCACAATCTAGAATGCTCTAATGCAGGAGTCCCCAACCCCCAGTCCACAGCCATGCTAGGACCGGGCTGCGGAGACCAACCTCCTGCCCCCCCTGCACACGCAGACGCATGCACCATGCACAGATGGCCCCTCCCATGCATGGATGCACACACGCCCCCTCCGCTGCCCACACGGACGCCCCCTCCGCTGCCCACACGGACACCCCCCCCACTAAACTGGTCCATGTAGGCAAAAAGGTTGGGGACCACTGCTATAATGCACCTAGTAGGAGCTGTAAGCTAAAATGTGCTTGTATGTTTGGTCCCATCCTTTTTCTTTTTGGCCCTCCACTCAGGTTGAAAGAAGTTAGTTACCACTCTTTATTAAACTTTACTTTCTCCTGGTGGGATAAGAATATATTTTGTAGAAGAATACATAAAGTGTCAGGCTTTGGCTATATAATATAAGAGCACAGGAGCAAGGACTAAGTCTGCAGTTCCAAATGCCTACCAGATTCTCTGAACATTTTCAGATCTAAATTTTTTTGTGCAAAGCTGTTTGCAGTGAAACAGATGTTCACATAGATTACGCCATGTCAGCATCTTCCATCTTAGGAAGTAGCCACTAAAGACTCACCTCTTGGGTTAGATCATGAATGGCTGTATTTAGCTTGAGGTTTTCATCAGACAGGAGATCTACTTGGCTTTTCATTTGCTTGCTTTCTTCTGATGTAGTCAATAATTTCTGTCCCAGTTCATCGTACTGATGATTCAGTTCTTGAAAATCGGCATCCTTCTTTATCTCATCAGCATTTGCAAAATTCTGTTTGGATTTTAGTGCATCAGTCATTTCCTGGAGCAGTATCTCCTTTTCAGCTACTTGAGAAAGCAAGCTCTCTTTTTCAGAAACCAATGAAGTGATCATCTCTGATTTTTCAAGAATCTGTTAAGGGAACATATACTTTCAATAAAGGATAGATCACAGGTTTAACGGGTCAGAGCTGGGTTTTGTAAGATGCCTTCCGGCTGAATACAGAATGCAATTATTTTTAAAACTGAAGTCAAAGAGAAACTGGAAGACTTTCTATTTTATCTCTTTATCCTTCTTCAAAATTGCTCAGAGCAAAGGGTTACAAGACATTATCCTGTTTTAAAATAACCCAGTTCCAATTAAAAACCAACCAGAACATATATTTTAAATTTTTTTTAGTAAAAGAGGTCAGTTGAGAAGATGGGAACTGCCGCAGCAAGCTAGAGCTTAGCAAAGTTATCCATTTGATCTATCACAGAGTTCAAGCTATATGAATTTGAGTCTCTCCTTCCTTCCAGAACTACCCCAAAAGCACTGCCTTGGGTTTGCTGGGGAAAGAAGAGGCTACCAACCTTCCCTTTTCACAGATGCTGTAAAAAAACCCCCAAACCTCGGCCTTTCCTGGTTTCAGCACTAATAGCTCTTGTGACTTTTGAACTTAATGGCACCCAGGAACCAGCAAAAATGAAAGCAATGGGCCACAACATTTATGATTCCAATGTGTTTTAGGTCTCATTAGGGTGGCTTTTCATCCTAAAAATCTAATTTGAATACAACACACACATACCTCTGAAACATGCTTCTGCAACTGATATAATATCCTATAAATGCTTAGGAATACACATCCCTAACACTGCAACAACTCTAATCAATAGTACTCTAATCCACTCACTAAAATGCAATTACTTTACAATCCAGTCAATTTATAAAATAATTAGAGGTGAAAACAAACAAGCAGACAAACAGACAAAATTACAGTGGCACCTTAAAGACTAACTTTTCTATTTTTTAATGTGAGCTTTCATGGACAAATCCACTTCATCAGAAATCTTGTCCATGAAAACACACATTAAAAAATAGAAAGCTAATCTTTAAGGTGCCACTATGTTTTTGTCTTTTTTTTAAACTTTAGTCTGTTTTCACCTATAATACTTGCACAGACTAACATGGCTACCCCTTCTACAACTACATTTATAAAATAAGACTCTTTGAATACCTAAAGAGAGAAAGGAGTGTTCATTTTCAAAAATATAATATTATTAAGAAACTATAAAAGGAGAGGCTTAGATTACAACCATAATTCCCCACCTGCTGTGAATAAAGAAGTCAACAGCTGAGACATAAATCTCTAAATATAAATTGCAATAACAATATAGTAACTGGGAGACAGCTACCTACATTGCCCAAGCACCCTTCATGGCTTTTGTAAATGATGTGCAGTAACAAAAAAATTGGAATAAGAAAGATCTCAGTGTACCAATAGCAAAAGTTAAGAACTAAGAGCTAATTGTGCTTAGTGGGATATGGGCAAAGAGGAGCATTTTCAGGAATCATGCTAGAAAACCATAGCATAAGAAACAGCTTCTAATATCCCATATTGTATTTTTTTACCTCTTTTCTTAATATCTCAAGATCTTGTCCTGAGCTAGCTTCTGAAAACGCAGTTGCATCTTTCCTTAAAGTTGTGTTTTCTTCCACAGCTTTATTCAGTTCATTTTTTAACTCTTCTATCTTTCTTTGCAATTCCACAGATGACAGCAAGTCTAAGAAGAAAACAGACTGAAAACTTAACAGATAAAATAGACCAAACAGAATTAGAATACTGTAATTGTGCTGCAAGTTTTACCATCCTATATAACTCTTGCTCTTCATCTTTATTAATTGTTGACGAAGCCCTCACTGGCTGAAATGCTGTTGTCTAGCACAGTAAAGCAACAACTAGAATATGCCCACTGAACCAGTGGCAATTTGGTGAATCAACTCCTTTGTAAGTTCCACCAATTCCATAGGTCTACTTTAGTTCCAGCTTACTTCTGTTAAGCAATTAGATTCCAGCCATTAAGATATAAATCTTTTTTACTGATTAATACATGGTTTCTGATTAGAGATGGGGGTATCCATATACAAATATGAATATCCCAGCGCAGCTCCCTGGATGGCTGCCAAATAGCCAGCTGAGCGGGAAGACAGCAGCGCTTCGGGTGTGATTGGAAAGGTGAGTGAGGCCGCCAACCGCAGCAGGACGCGCGAGTGGATGGTCTGGCCCCAGGGGCTGGACCCTTGTTAAGTCCAGCTGCCCAGTGATATTCGTAGTAGGATACAAATACCCTCTCTATTTCTGATGTACAAAACACAAACAAGCTCAAAGACCCTCCTCCATCCTTGTGTCCAGTTTACTCTCCTGTTTCCCTACCACCAGGGCTGTTAGGCAGAGCGAAGCAGTGTCTAATGTGAAATATGCTGGGGGCAACCACACTATTCTCCCAATTGTTCTGCCTGTACTTCCAACTGTTTTCATAAGCTAGCCACCAGGGCTGTTAGGCAGAGCGAAGCACTGCCTAATGTGAAATATGCTGGGGGCAACAACACCGTTCTCCCAATTGTTCTGCCTGTACTTTCCAACTGTTTTCATAAGCTGGAAAACAGAACTATGTCTCACCACCAACATCCATCCTAAACAGTCTATTATGACTGAGAATATGTCCTAAATCCCCCAAGACAGCCGATTGCCCCAAATGTTGTGAAGGATCCTAGTCCATCATTAGTGCTAGCATACATGAAAACCAGCTTTTGTGTATGAAGTGGATGTAGTGTGCCATATTCTCATTTCCCTCAAACATGAAACATCTTGACTATGCCCTGCCAACCAAGATCCATTAAACTCACTTATTCAATCCCTCTCTTCAAGGCCTCTTTCTGTCTTCACAAACTTTAATGCTCTGTTGCTCCTTATCTCTTACAAATTTTTTCCAGCTCTGGCATATAAACTCTTCTAAAGCAGGGAAAAAGCACTCAGAAATTTTCTTCATCTGCAATCACAGTGGCTCTGCCTACCAATATCCTACAGCCAGGTTAAAGTTATTTCAAAATAATACCCCTGTTTTTCTGAGGAAGATGAGAAACGAAAAAGAGATTCAGGAGTGGTAACAACCAATGGAAAACACAGGCATTTAAACAACAAAAAAAGTAGAATATGTATTTAAAAATGATGGCGTCTAAGTTCCAAAAACATCAAAGGACAGAAAAGACCTATAGATCAGAATAAGGGACATTTAGTCAATCAAGCTCAAATCCTGAATCAGTTCTTTTATTTTTTGGACTACAACCACCAGAAACCTAAAACTAACAACCATGCATTTCTGAGAGTTGTAGCCCAAATCATTTTACCTTGGTCTGAATGTAGGCCAATGGGGCTACCTAAAAGCACAAGTCTTATGGTCTAGAATTTAAAAGTGTTGAGCCTTGAAAAATCTTCCAGTAAAGTCAATCTATAAAAACGTTTCCTCCTTAAACCTTTAAGGCTGGTTGCACTGCATGTCTTTAGCAGCTTGAACAAGCCCATGAAACATACAGATTTCACCAATCCAAATATTCCTACAAACTGTTGCTTTACTGCAGGGAGTGAGCAACTATGAGCATTGAGCTACAACTTGAATCACCACTGCCCGTTCTGGGGCTGATGTAAGTTGCAACGCCAACATCTAGAGGGCCACACATTGCCCACTCCGGATTTGAGGCATGGTTTCTTTCAAAGTATGTAAGCAAAATGAAAAGGAAGACTGCTATTAGAAAGCACTAGTGAATTCTTAAGGAAAGGCAGTAGTCCATATGAAATTGTTAGTGCCAGTTAGTGAAGATCCACTGGACCAATGAAGAACTGGTTAGTCCATTTTTTATGAACTTTGTTGTTTTCACACTCTAATGGGATCTAACAGTTGGATGTCAAAGAATATACAGTTTCTGGCTGTTTTATGATCCCAGTCCATTTTGAGAAGAGATGGCCTGATTTAGACTGTACAGCCTGTCTGAATTGTGTGCTAGGGCAGCATGCCATGCAGAAATAAAGGAAATATATTAATATAGATTAATCAGTTGACAATCAGCATATGCCACAATTTGGGGTGATACAAGGCCTCAGTAGGAAGCATCTCTATGATGGGGAGAGGAAGAAGAAAGAGGGAATTGAGCATGCGTATCAATGTTCTTGTCAGGACAAGACTGTTATGATATATCAGGATTGGATGATTAAACCAACCAATTCCACTTTAGATACAACGGGAATTACCTACCCTAAAAGAAGTCACACACCCAGGGAAGAAGTAACTGGGGGTTCCCTCAAATATTATAATTGCAACTCTCATCAACCGTCAACATTGGCTTAGCTGCTGGCTAGGGCTGATACGAACTGCCATCTAATAACCTCTGGAAAATCAAGTGTTAACCACTCCTGCTCATCCTTTCAGATGTGTATACATGCGCACGCGCTGCTTTTCAAAATTTATCTCACTTTGCTCATCCAGCAGATGTCAACCACCACCACCACAACAAACATTCCTGGGGTCAGCAAAACAATCCAGAAGAAATTCTTGTAGACAATACCTTTAGGAGCCTTCTCCTCCACAAGTGACACCAGCTTTGCATTTTCTTGTACGTAAAACTGCAGCTCTTTCTGCAAGTCAGACTGCATTTTTTTGTAAGTGACTTTTCCGGCATCTAACTGGCTTCTGCAACACTTAAGGTCTTTTTCCATTTGATTGCAAGTATCTGAAAGTTGGGTCTACATGGCACAAGATAATATGCTGTTATTTTATATCCAACTATATGCTAGAAAAACATCAGTTCTTCAAAACAAACAAGCAAGCCTTGGTTTATGAATGTGGGATATTGTGCTTCTGTATCTACAACTCAAAGTGCCAGCAAAGGCCTGATATTGCTGCACAATATCACGCCCACATTGCAAGCAGGAAAAAGGATGTCAAGCTTTACATAGCAAAGGGCAGCCCGAATATGCCACTGGATAACACCAATGGCATATTCAACACCAATGGTCCATATTCAGGATATCCTCTTGTGCTCATTACCATGCGCAAAGTGATACCAAGCAAGGGAAAAATCCAAGAAGCTAAGTTGGGTCTACATGGCACAAGATAATATGCTGTTATTTTATATCCAACTATATGCTAGAAAAACATCAGTTCTTCAAAACAAACAAGTAAGCCTTGGTTTATGAATGTGGGGTATTGTGCTTCTGTATCTACAACTCAAAGTGCCAGCAAAGGCCTGATATTGCTGCACAATATCACGCCCACATTGCAAGCAGGAAAAAGGATGTCAAGCTTTACATAGCAAAGGGCAGCCCGAATATGCCACTGGATAACACCAATGGCATATTCAACAGGAAAAAGGATGTCAAGCTTTACATAGCAAAGGGCAGCCCAAATATTGATAACACCAATGGCATATTGAACACCAATGGTCCATATTCAGGATATCCTCTTGTGCTCATTACCACGTGCAAAGTGATACAAGCAAGGGAAAATCCAAGAAGCTACCGTATTTTTCCGTGTATAAGACGCCCCCCTTCCTAATCCAAAATTAAGAAATCTAAGTGGGGCTTAGCAAGTGTAGGGGAAAAGGGATAAAAGCACTGCAGGATCGCTTTGATCCCTGCTTTCCCCTCCACTTGTTTTTGTTCTCTCCTCGGCTTACTTCCATGTATAAGACAACCCTCGATTTTTAGTCTAAAGATTTTAGACAAAAGAATAGTCCTATACACAGAAAAATATGGTAAGTCCTTTTTTTTATCAGTTAACCACTTCTCATCCAAACACAAAGCAATAATCATGGCTGCTTTTCAACACATCTTTAATTGTGCAGAACTCAAGCTGTACAGAAACTGTGCTGACAGTCTGATGAGGTGCTGATCATTTAGGTTGTTTCATTCAGTTTTAACTGCCTTGCTATACAGAGGGCACCTCTCAAAGAACTACAAGGTGCTGATCATTTAGGTTGTTTCATTCAGGTTTTTCTTCTGAACTCAGATTCTTAGAGTTCTCCAAGAATTCTGGAAGTTCCAGCTGACAAGCACACATTTCACTCAAGTAGAAGATGGCCTATTTACTAGGCTGCTTTTAACTGCCTTGGTGTTTCCTGGGAGGCCTAGAACTTTGTCAGAAGTGTAGTCTCATTGCCCATTAGGCTATGCAGAAGGCACTTCTCAAAGAACTACAGCTCCCACAAAGACCTAAGTCTCTTGAGGAAGCGCCAGGTAAGAGGTTGTGGGTTCTTTTTGTATATTTACAATTAGCCCCAAGAGAGCCATACAGGCTGGAAACTAGGCCCTGTCCCAGATAAGTGAAGTGTAAGTGTGTATAGGTGTCTGGAGGTGTGTTTGTGGGCTGGAACTCCCAGAATTCTGCCCAGGGAATTATTGGACAATTTTATGAATTGGGAGTTAAAAGAAAGAAATGGCACACCCCTACTGATCATGCAACTTGCCACAAGACTGACAGTTCATCAGATCACTGAAGCAGTTTCCTCCATTAGAACTCTACACACATAAGTATTGAAAAGGATATCAGCCATTGTGTTTTGCCTCTCTCTTTGCTTAAGTATAATACTGCTAGTAGGCCACAAGAGGTGTGTCTGTTCATTCACATCTTGCATAGAGAGATCCCAAGCATGAAATAGCCGCTTCTTTCCAAGACGGTTCATTCTCTTCATCTAGCAAGCCCTTATAACTGTACAGTCATCAAATGCTACTAAAAATAATCTTACCACTTTTTCTTTTAGAGCTAGGTTTTCACTTCTGAGGAAAGACGATTCTTTCTTGGCATCCAGTGCTACTGCTTCAGCATCACTAAGAGAGTGCTTCAGTTGTTGTATTTCATCCAACCCTTTATTTGAGGTTTGCTGCAAGAATTAAAATACCACTACAGGATATATAGTGGTGCCTCGCTTAACGAGCACACCGTTTAACGAATCCGCATAGCGACGTGTTTTTTGCGATCACTAATGTGATCGCATTGCGATGTTTATATAGGCTAAACATCGCATTGCGGTGATTGGTAAGCGTTTTGCTTACCGATCTTTGCATTGCAATGTTTAAAAAACAGCTGATCGGCGGTTCCAAAATGGCCGCCGGTGTCAGAAAATGGCCGCCCGCAGCATTTTCGCGCCCTGCCCTCACATGTAAAAACTTCCAGAATCAGAAACAAGGAAAACTTGATTACACTGGCTTATGTGGATTTAGCAGGACTCCAAATTTAAGCAGGGTGGCCAGGAAAAAATAGTGGACATAAGCTTTGTTTCCATCAAAACTGCCTCACCAAGAATTATCTGGGTTTTCACCCCCCTAGAGGTTTTTGCTTGGAAACTGTCAATTTATAGAGATGCTCAGGTAGATTGCAGTGCTTTTATGTTCGACTTTTCCCCTGCACTTCAAATGGGTTTGGGCAACTCACATGCTCCTTAGCAGCTTCTAAGCATCATTTCCCAAGCAAGAATCCCAGAAGGTGGGGCCACAACTGCAAGCATCCATAGCTATGGTGTAGATCTCAGGCAGGAGAAGACTGTAGACCTCTCCGATGAGACAGCACTGTCACAAAACCATGTATGTGTCTTCTCATCTCACCCACATCCCTATTTTTTGGCCTCGGCAACTGATCTGGCCAACAATATATATCCACAGGCAAGGGGCCTGAACACTCTCTGTCCATTCAGGCCAATTTGGAAGCTCCAGCAGGCCTGGCCAGAACCCATGTAATTTTAACCAAGAACTCTGTGTGGAATCATTTGTCACTCCTGCTGGGTGGAGAGCGTAACATGGCTACTTTTGCCAGAAAGTAAGAGAGATTTGAAGACTAATGGTCTGTAATGACTCAATTTAAGAATTGTCAACCTGGCTGTAAGCAATAGACCTAGAATTTGCAACATACAAATGTCCGTTTTTCAAGTTCATACAGCAGATAATAATGGTTCAAACTTACTATTGAGAAGGACTGATCCTTTTTCCCACTTTCAGCCTTTAATTCTTCTACCAGATTTTTAAGCTCAGTGACATTATTTTCTAGCATCTTCATTTTATCCTCCTGTTCCTTGAGCTGTGCATCTTTCAACTTAATTTCCTCCTGAGTAGTAAGGAAGAGAAGTACAAGTGTAGAGCAGTTTTGTGAGTTATGCTCTTTAGTTTCCATGCTTAATGAGATATGAGGCACTATCCAATATTACATAATATGGAGTAAGTAACCCGAGAATTCAGATGTTTGATTCAAAGTAAATACCAGCAGTACATTTTGTTATATGCAAAGTCACCACCACCACTGCCACCAGCTCACCTGGATATCTTGGTTGTAAACTTCAGCATTTGCAATTATAGCCTTTAAGTTGGAAATTTCATGCATTAGTTGCATCTGTGAAGCAATTGAAGCAGAAGAGCACAGAGAGTTAAGCAGCACGCTTTAGTTTATCTGCCATCACCCATTACACATGCAAGCCGGCTGTGCAATTAAAACACAAGAGTCTTAGATAATAACACAGTTGTTACTGTAGAAAACAGTGCCATCAAAGCTACCAACATGAATTTGACCCAACTCCAGGAGGCCGTGGAAGACAGGAGGGCCTGGCGTGCTCTGGTCCATGGGGTCACAAAGAATCGGACATGAATTAACAACTAAACAATAACAACTGTATAAAATATTGGGACTATCCCATTCAGTGGGAAAGAGTCCTAGGAAACATCTCAACACATTGAGCAGAATCAGTTTAACACCTCTCAATCCTTCAAAAACAGCAGGGGCATCCGAATATGTCAAGTGTGATCAACAAAAACAGTACTACTTTTCTTCATGATGTGTCAGTGTATTGATAGCATACGTTTACATCTCAGCTTCCTTTCAGTTCAAGTGTACACGAATTCCCAGATCTATAGAGTGGTCCAGCCCAAATGCCACAAAACAGTGCATGATGGTGTCAATGTTCTCCAAAATCCTTCATCAGGATGAATGGAGGATGAACATTTTCTTACCCCCCCACACCCTGCGGCTTGGATGAAGGGTTCTAGAGCAGTCATTCTCAACCTTTTTTTTTAACGGCCACAGTCATAACGGAAATATGAAATAAATATAGGCAGAATTAGTGGAGTAGCCCCCTACAAATGTGCCAAGCCATTGAGAATGGCTGTTCTAGAGAACTCAAAGCTTGTACATTATTTGTGATATTTGACCTAATAAAGGTATAGTGAATTTTAGACTCTCCCTTAGGACTAATAAAAGTACTGTACAGTGGTGCCCTGCATAGCGATGTTAATCTGTTCCAGATTAATCGTTGCTATCCAGAATTGTCGCTAAATGGAACTAAAAACCCCATAGGAACGCATTAAACTTCGTTTAATGCGTTCCTATGGGACAAAAACTCACAGTTCAGCGAAGATCCTCCATAGCACCGCCATTTTTGCTGCCTCGGTAAGCGAGGGCAGCGCGCGAAAACGCTTGCGGTGGCCATTTTGGGCACCCGGCGGCCATTCTGGAACAGCTGATCAGCTGTTCTAAAAACATCGCAATGCGTTTCGCTTACCGATCATCGCAATGCGATGTTTTCCCATTCAAAACATCGCAATGCGATCGCATTAGCGATAGCAAAAAATAGATTGCTATGCGGATTCGTTGTTAAACGGTGCGCTCGTTATGCGAGGCACCACTGTATCCTTGTATTTTGCAGATTCCAAGATGATTTCTTCAAGGGAGCTCTTGTCTAGATTCAGACTTGTAGCAGTCCAAGGAGGAGCTTCAGCGGAATTGTTACATCGTACTGTATCTTCACATCATGATTTTAGATTCATATTTAGGGACTGCTTTGGAAAGACCCTTTGAGATGAAGGAGTGCTTTATTTATGAAGGCTTTTACTAGCCTTAATACTAGTAACACTGAATAGTCAGTGAAACATGTAAGGTAAGACAGAGATTTAATTTTATTTATTTTATTGTATTTCTATCCTGCCCATTAGATACAGCTAACACCACCTTCTTTCAGGCAGCTACCCATGCCCCATAAGTCTTAATGAGCTGTGATTGAGGTTCTGCCTTTCAGTAATACAGGCCAATTATTTCTGTATTTCATACAGTGATGCTGCATAGGAATGTTGTAGGAATGAAAAAAACAACAACCAGAGGATTCCTTACAACTGTAATTTGATTATTACCCTGCTGCTGCCGATTGATTTACATACTGGATTTTTTTGTCATAGATAAACCCGACTCTGATATAGACCTACCAATTTATAGAGATCTGTCAACACAGAACAGCTGGCTAGAAAGCTCAGTGGCTTAGCCAGCTGGCTGTCGAGCCAGAGGTTGGGAGTTTGACTCCCCACTGTGGTTCCAGGGAGAAGCAGCAGCCTGTGTGACCTTGGGTAAGCTGTATACCCAGAGGAAGGGAATGGTAAACCACTTGTGAATATTCTTTTCCTAGAAAACACTTAAAAGGGTTGCCATAAATCAGAATTGATGGAACGTGATTATTATGTTATTATCAACATAGAACAGGTCAAAATGTTGTAACAAAATACAGTGGTGCCTCGCTTAACGAGTGAACCGTTTAATGACGAATCCGCATAGCAACACGTTTTTTGCAATCGCTAATGCGATCACATTGCGATGTTTTCGGTGGCAAAACATCGCATTGCCATGATCGGTAAGCGTTTCGCTTAGCAATCTTCGCATTGCGATGTTTAGAAAACAGCTGATCGGCGGTTCCAAAATGGCAGCCGGATCAACAAAATGGCTGCCCGCAGCGTTTTCGCGCCGATTCCTCGCTTACCGAGGCGGCCCTATGGAAGAGTCCCACTTAGCGGTGAGTTTTTCCCCAATAGGAATGCATTAAATGGAGTTTAATGTGTTCCTATGCGTTCTCCCCCCGCATAGCAACGAATCCGAATAGCGACGTTAATTCTGGAACGGATTAACGTCACTATCCAGGGCTCCACTGTATAAACAGATGTTAAGCCAAGCCATCTTGAAGGTCCTACAAAAGGAAAATGTGGGCTATCACCAGAATAAAAATCATTAAAAAAAATCTTTCTAAAACTAGATAAGCTAGTCCTTACTAGATGTTAAATGGCTACTGATAACTAAGCCAGGTAAGCATTTTGATAATAGTTCACAAATTTGGCAACATTGCAGACCGTGCTTTGCCCCATATGCTCATACTGTACTTGAGACCAGAAGAAACACATAGGCATCTTAAAAGTGGTTTTCACAACCTGGTTTTCTTACATTGTGTCATGATTCAGAGCTTGCAAAAGTTAATTTGCAAGCTCTGGTCAGAATGGTGGGAAATCAGAACATCCAGAAAGCATACAACTAGGGATAAATGTGTTAGATGTTCACTATATTAGAACCCACTTGTTGTCACTGCAGAACCAGTTGATTAATGGAATTCCACTAGATGAACCTGGTGCATGAGTTCTGTACACTCCACCACGGCTGCTTCATGGGAGAGACAGCTTAACCACAGCAATATATGCAGTGACCAGCTAAACAACGGTAACACTTTGCACAAAGAGCAATCTTTGAAGAGTGTTTGGAAATTCAGATGAACCATCTTATCAATTCTCAGCCCATTTGAGCACAATAAAAAATACACACGAATTAGGGACATGAAGAAATTTCACATCTGTCTCATTCACAAGACACAACACAAAATGACAGATTGTGAAGAAAATGAGACACCAAACACTTTCTCCTCCTTTGTGGTGCCTTTGCATAATTCATGCAATTGCATCTTTGCCCTTTGCGAAACTCAAGAAGAAAGCACCAAAAGACAGACTGATGGCTCACCAAAAGTAGCAAAGCTTCTATTTCCTTGTATTTACACACACACACACACACACACACACACACACACACACAGTGCCCCTTTCCTTACCTCGTGTTCTTTTGCAGTCTCGTTTTCAAGAGCCACAAACTCTTCAGTTGACATTTTTTCTCTCAGTTCTGTGAGCTCACATCTCAGCTGCTTATTCTCCAATTGCAGATTTTCAAGTTTTATAATCATAACTTGCTGTTCAGTGACTGCATTATCCTACATAAGTTAGGAGAAAGAGAGATTAGAAGATTTTACCCTCACTTCACTTACATTTCCTAAAGAACGTTGAAATGACTTACCCTCTCTTCTACAAGGGTTTCACAAAGCTGGACAGACTCTGCAAAGTCCTTGTGAATCTAGAACAAGAAATATTTAAGTGAGCTATAAAATACCTCCTGAGCTTCTGTCCTAGCTAAATTTCCTCTTAAGCTCATGCATCATGTGTATAATTGTGGAAAATCCTTCCTTTCCTCCCTTAGAAGTTCATGAAAAACTCCTGAGCAGCAAAAACAAACAAATGAAAAAAAAAAAACACCAAAAAACCAAACCCAAAATATTTAAATAACATGAGGTTTAATTATCTTGGAGAACTGAATAGCAGCAACAAATTTAGCAACTGCTACAGAAAAATAAGGATTTTTATCTTCTAATAGTGTAGGGAACAAGGTCTTCAGAGAATGGTATTTCAAATAAATCAAATAAATAAAGGTTTATTCAGTTGCATAAAAAAGGCAAGACGACAGGATATGTGAAAACATATCCAGGCCAGTGCTCACATGGACAAATTCTCTCAGAGAAAGGTTGATTGTGTACAATGCTGAGTAGTCCCACGCCAATACATGGATGGCTCAAAGATGATGCAACCTGAAGCTGTCACGAGTTGTGGGGAAGAGCTGGACATTATTTAAATACAACTGCTTACTAGAGATTATTGACAGTTATTTAACATTTGGTGATGGTGGCAGTAAATGCCGTCCACAGTGGAGGATGCCCCAAGAGTGGCCGTAGCTCCTACCCTAATTCTGCCCCCAAAGCATTACTGAGGAACCAAATATTCAGGGACAGAGCTCTCCCCTGGGCTGGAAAAAACAGATACTGTACTTTGTCCACCTCTACTACTTACAAAATTGATTTCAGATCCTGGAACCCATTCTTCTGCAGATTGTGCAATACTGGCTATCATGCCTTGATCATCATATTCTGAGAACTCCGATGACACAGCTAAAAATATTTTACCAAAAGGAAAAAAAATAAGAACTGCAAACTTAAGACAGAGCCAAATACAAGAAGTGCTAAATGACACGATGCAATCTAGTTTTGATTAACTCAGCTAATGGTTCTTGCATGCTCTTCTGCAAGGCTGGAAAATAAAAATGTACTGCTCATCTTTCTATGGTCTGAAGAAACCCTTCTGATATTAGTGCTATTGAATATATACTCTATTAGCATCCATTTTAATTAAACATGTTTTGGGAATATGCTCAACTTACAATCATTCATATTCCTAACCCTCAGTTATATCCCATGTGCTTCCATTGTTTTTACTTTTTAGACGCCATCTCCCCCTATATTTTGAAGAAAATATTCTCTCCTATATTTTGAATAAAATATTTTAAAAGGAGAGGAGGGAATCTTGGGATCTGACAAGACTACAGTTCTCATATCATGGAGAAAAGTCTTTTTTCTTTACTAACACCTGGACAGCAGCCAGTTTCCCCAAGTACCACGAGTCCGGTGCCAGAATCAAACCTCTCAAGCAACCAGGACAAGAGATGAGCCTGTCAGGTTAAGCGAAAAAAATTCCTCTCCTTCCTGTCCCCTTCAGATCTAAAAGAAGTATTCTGTATTATTTAACCAGCATGTAGCTTAAACACCGTTTGGCATCAGTTTGACCACCGCAATAAATACTAGATAGGTGACATACTATGAAGTACTGAAATCTCAACTTGCAGTTCATGGTATCCACTATTTTAAGATACAGTACTGCCTTAAGATGTTTTTCCCCAGGGAAAAGCACTTACATTCTTCCATCTCTGTTAGAGAAGCGAAAGAAGCCTTGTAACGTTTGCTTTTACCAGGAAGATCTTCCAAGAAACACAATCCCCCATCCTGGCTTATTGCTCCTGGAGCCCAAGTAACTCTTCTCTTCCGTCTAGTCTTAAAAAGAAAAATATTACTACATTGAGGCATGTAGGGGAACTAAAGCAAGCTGAATCATTTTATATTTAAAGTTACCCCAACCTGCATTTACTGGTGACCTGGACTATGTTTTTAGATGGAATTCATGCACAGACTGTTCAATGACATTATTTGCTCAAGGCCTTTGACAAAACACAACCAGGGCAATGAGGAGTTAAAGGATGCTTTGAAATGTTATTTCTTGACTACACTGGCTGGGAGATTGAGAAAAGTACAGTGGTGCCTCGCTTGCCAAGGATAATCTGTTCCAGCAAAATCGCTGTAGAACGAAATCCTCGTCAAGCGAAAATAAAAAACCCATTGAAATGCATTGAAAACTGGTTCAATGCGTTCCAATGGGCTAAATACCTAATCGTCCAACGAAGATCCTCCATAGGGCGGCCATTTTCCAGTGCCTGTAAAGTGAAAAATGCCTCCAAAAACAGCGGGGAGCCATTTTGCACAGGGGCGGCCATTTTGAAACCTGACAATCAGCTGTTTCACATCGTCGTAATGCGAAGAATCTGTTCCTGAAGTAGGGAACCAATCATCGTAAAGCGATTTTTGGCCATTGAAACATCGTTTTGCAATCGCAAAAACCTCACCGTCAAGCGGATTCATTGTTTAACGAGGTAATTGTTAAGTGAGGCACCACTGTAGTCTAAAAAAGGTAATTTCACCCAAGTTCTGATAAACATAAACAACTACCAATTCTGTATTTGTCCAGCAAGCACATCCATAGTTCTGCCTAGAGGGAATATAATGTTGCTAGTCTTGCACTACATGCTCAAGGAAGGTGGAACGAAGTAGGATCCATTTGAGGAAGCCACTTTGACCCAATGCCCTTCAGATATGTTTGACTCCAACTCCCATCATATCACTAGCCATGGGAGGATGGAAATGGGGAGTTGCAAGTCAACAGATCCTGAAAGCCATATTATAGAATCATCCACTGCACCTTTTCCTTCTTAAGCAGATGACTTTCAATGCACAAACTAATGAAGTTTCCAAAAATATTAAGCTCCTCAGAAGCCTCCAAAATGCCCAAAGGGTGGCAGCCAAACAAAACTGTCACATTCGTACAACAATCCATTCTCTTTTCTAAGAGAATTGGAGAATGGAAACAGAATTAGAATTGCAGAATTAGAATTTCGTAAAGATGTATTCATCATTCTATGCAGGCGGCTAGTATTTTTTTCTCCAAAGAATAAGTGACTCTCTGAGCTGAAGCAGAAACTGCTTATTGTACTTCTGAGGTGAAGTTGTTGAGGTTAAAAAAAAAACTACACTATAGCACAATTGCTACAATTTAGGTTTTGCTGGATGCAATATATGTACAAATGAAAGACTGCTCAACAGTTACTTCAAATGATACTACGTTTAAATCAACAAGATTATGCATAAGTGTATGCTTTCACTTAACTATTACACATATCATTCCACTTTTGTTTGGGTGGGGGAAGGGATGAAATAAAGGCCAAGGTTTACAAAGCATTTCATTAGTTAAGAAAGCAGAAATTAAGGCAACACTATGCTTTGCAGATCTGCCTTGGAGATAGACAAAATGGAGAGGCATAAAACAAAGCGTGTTGCTTATATACTGCCCCATAGCACTTAAAGCACTCTTTGGGCAATTTACAGTTTAATTATGCAAGCTACACACTGCCCCCCCCACCTCCCGAGCTGGATATTCAACTTACTGAACTCAAAAGGATGAATCAACCTTGAGCTGGCTATCTGAGACCTAATTATGCAAGCTACACACTGCCCCCTGCACCCCCTGAGCTGGATATTCAACTTATGTACTGAACTCAAAAGGATGAATCTGAGACTAAGATTGAAATCAGATCACGAGCAGAGCCTTCGCTGCGCCACAAGGCTCAGACCAATGATTTTTGGACCAAATGAGGTGATCTTAAAAGTGCTCCATAACTCAGAAGTTCTCAAACCCTTTAAGAGACATTACTTGATCCAAGGTCCACACAAACAACTTGTAGCTTTAATAAATATGCTTTGCTCACAACCAAAACAGAATTCGAAATCTTTTTTTCTTTAGTTTAGATTCTGCTCTGTCCTAATACAAGATGTAGTAGAAATCATTTTCCAGGGTCCTATGGAATTTAAATCCTCCCAGCTTACTTTCAACTCTTGTTCTCGTGCAAAAGAGGATGCAGTCACAAGCATCTCGGTTAATGCTCTTATCCTGTCCTGCTGTTCTTTTTGAAGGGAGTTCTTTTCCTCCAGAAGCTGAGCTAGTTGATCTTTGGTGTGAGAAAGAGACGAAACCTAAAAAATAAATACATCTGTCTTAATGGTAAAAGGGTTCATGATTTCAATAAGAAGACCTACACAATTTTTCAAGATAATCAGAAGTATTTTAAACATTGGCATTTAAGATGGAAGCACTTAAGACCAATCCTATAATCAAAACAGCCTTAGGGTCTTGCAGACAACCCTCTTCCGGAATAAAGAGATGGTAGGCCTGTTGTTGGAAGTTTCTTCTTTGGAGAAGCAGAAATGTGTCAGTGCCATCATGGCAATCCTATAATCAAAACAGCCTTAGGGTCGTGCAGACTACCCTCTTCTGGAATAAAGAGATGTTGTTGGAAGTTTCTTATTTGGAGAAGCAGAAATGTGTCACTGCCATCATGTCCCTTCTATCAAAGCTCTGACAGCAACAGAGCCTGAAAAGGGACATTTTGGAGATCCTCAACAGAGCCTGAAAAGGGACATTTTGGAGGAGATCCCAGGACAGCAGAGAAACTACATCAGCCCTGGAGACAATATAACTCTACCTCTTTTCATTGGAGGCACTGGGAGCGAAGATGTTAAAGCTGGGCATGATTGATTGAATTTTTTAAAAAAAAAACCCCTCTTCCTCTGTCCACTGTTCCTCTGTCTGGTCAGTTGCATCTAGCTAATAGAAGCCTCTTAGGATCTCCCACTGATGTCCCCTTTCCTGCCTCCCTAGGATTGCTCTGCAACCTAATGAGTGCATATGGATCTTTATGAGGCTGTTACAATAATTCAGCCAGATTTGACTCTGTACTCCCATTCAAAACAGGGTTGGACAAGTTTAGAACGGTTGAGAGAGGGGCCCAGTTCATTGGCTATGCAGGCAAATCTCTCTCCTCTCTGCAAGAAGCTGAGCATGGTTGGAAGTCGACAACTTTCCCATAAGCTTTATATCTGGTTGTGTAAACAAGGATATGGGTGTGCCTTCTTTTAAAAGAAAATCATAAGTTTCCAGAGGGGTTTTTTAAATTAAAAAAAATTCTCTGGAATAGTGGGTTTCTGGTGGTTGCTAAACTGGGCAGGGGTTGTTTACCCCGATCTAAATCACAGATGGGAAAGCTGTGCCTCTCGCAATACATTGAGACTGCAACTCTCAAGCTCTCCCCATAAACTGTCTGGGCTTAGATTGAAACTGCAAATAGCACCTGGAGAGCCACATCCTTGATTTAATCTCAGATCATGGTTTGGTTCTTCAGCTACTGAGAAAAAATGGGTAGATCTAAACAACGATATACAGGGTGACAAGAAAGAAGAGTTCTATGTATGCAAGGAATATGTTTTAAAACAGCTCATATCTCTGGAGTTTTTAAAAGTTTAGACTGTTTTTAATTAGAAGGTCAACTTACTTCTTCTAATTGTCGTTTCAGGTCTTCTATCTCTTTACGATACCTCTTCAGCAGAGCATCATCATCAAGAACTTCATTTACTTTGGGAGTATTTTTCATCTTTTTAGCTGTACTGGCAAACTGGGAGAGACAAGCAGAGAGTCAACATGAGCAAGACATGAGCAGAAAACACAAGAAATCCTTCTGCATGAACTCTCTTTTATGGTATGACATCGCAAAACAAAAATATTGCTACTACAGTAACTGCCAATGGGGCCTGCAAGATTATGCTCTTCATAGTGCAAAGCTTTTAAAATGTAGCACCATGTCTCTTATGAATTGAACTAAATCCTGTCAAGTTAATTCTGACTTCAATTGACTTATTTGATTGCCCTTACACAGTTGCCCAGGTAAACGGGACACTAACTAAAAGTTTCAGATCCATAGTATGTAAGCCCTTTTTAGCATAGGTGGCCAGGGGCCCAAACAAAGCTGTTGCTCTGCTTCAAACGTTTGAGAATGGATCACCTCATACCACAGCCTGCTCCACTTGTTACATAGAACTGGGTGGATCTTTCTTCCAATTCCATAGAAGGCAATCCATAAACCAGAATGCAGACCCAAATGAAAGACATTAGCTAAAATCTTTGTAGGCTGGACTGGGTTTGAAACAGAGATTAGAGCGCATTGAAAAAGAAATTTTATGGCACATGTGGAACAGTATTCAGTCTTAAATTTTGTCACATCTCTCTGCAGGAATGTCTCCTACTTCCAAGAAAAAAAGGATCTGGGGGTGAAATCAATAGAATTCTAGCTATACCTGAAGAGTGCTAAGAGTTTCTTCTAGAGATACTGGAGTAACTGTACAGATGATAACAGTCTTAGCATTTCCACCCAGTGAATTCTGTAGAATTCGTGTCAGCTTGCTATCCCTGTAGTTGATGAAGCCACTGGTGAAGACAGATAAGCAGAGAAGAATATAAATTTTACTCATTAGCCAAGATAAAATTTGTTCAAGAGCCCATGTATTATGTCTATGGCAGCAGTGGGAAATTTGACCCTCGAGATATTATCAAGATGCTAAAACTCCCAGCCATGTAATACAACGTGGCCAGTGTTAACAGACTGTGACAAATGTTATCTAAAGCATCCAAAAGGTCAAAGAATCCCTACTCCACTCTAGGACTTGTCATTACAGATTAAGGTAAGGGATTGGCAGCTCAGCAAGCCTTACCCAGACTGGTCCTCACAAAGCTTCTTGATAACTTGTCCCAAAATGAAAAGGCTTCGGTTGATGTTGCACCCTTCTTTCAGGCGAATCCCTACACAGGAGCACAACAAATGGAACAATGAATATGGCAATGCAGTTCCTTTCACAAGCTTGTACTTCTACGGTGATGCAGATAAGCAATATATGCCCAGTTTGGGTGCAAAAAGAATCTTGCTGGATCAGATAAAGAAACAACCTAGTCCAATGCAATACCAGAGAAAATGACCCATGAGAAGCTCACAAATACGTATGTCATGAGTCATAACAGCAATCTCCCACTTGTATTCCCTAGCATCTGGTATTCTGAGGAAGAATGCATGTGAAACTGGAGGTATGATAAACATCATGAGGAGAGGCTATCCGTTTCTCCATGACCTTGTCTAATCCTACTCTGAACAATCCAAGATGGTGACTAAATCTGCAGTATATAGCAGGGTAAATTAGGACACCTAACCAGAATGTATGAATGATTACAAATAGGAAGACAATGACCTGGATTAGCCTATTATTTAATAGATTCTCTGTGGTGGGTTAGAGTTCTAACCAATCATTACTAGTCATTTCTGAGGTGGATGTAAATATGACCAAGAGAGAGAACAGTGTATAAGCTGTGCAGGAGCTGTTCATCTAGGAGGAGACAATGTGTGTAATCTTCTACTGCAACCAAAGTTCCCTCTAAGGTGTATGGTTGTATGAGCATGCATGGGTCTGCACAGGGCAGCTGCTGCTCCACCACACATCCATAGCAATCATTTCCAGCCCTTTTGGTTCTGGTCAAAACAGAACCTGTGTAGGAGGGCAGAGTCATGCAGGCAGGGGGTGAAGCCCCACCCAGTGGGGCTTAAAATTAGAGGGAATGTTGGCTCCAACCCAACTGAGGTCAATAACTCCACGAGATTTTTATTGGGCAAATCCTTCACATTCTCATACCTACACATCTATCCTAGCGGGATGTGAACACAGTGTGAAAACCCTACTAGAGTAGGTTCCTAATGCTTAGAATTTAGCATTTTAATTTCCTTTGTTGAACGACTGGATGAGTGTCATCAAGCTAGGGTTCAGCAAATAAATAGGATACCACAGACCTTCAGAAAAATCTAATTCAACAACAGACACATACCTTCAGCACCTGTTTGGCTAGCTCGTTCACTTCCGGCCAGATCTACTAAATTCTGAAAATTGAAGGCAGACTTTGTTACATCCTATTATTCAAGCTCTTTAAGCCACCCACTGGCCTGAACACTGATTTTCAGCTGGAAGCAAACAATGGTACCCAAATGTACGAGAAAAAGAGCATTTAACCAGATAGAAGAAAGGGGTCCCTGGCAAGGAATTTACATTGCAGAATAAGAACAATTTGTGCATTATTACTCTGTACTTCTGAAAGGAATTTAAGTGCTACTGAACACCAATACAGTATTTTTGAAAGAAGAATAAGGGCATTTAAGATAAAGGAACTTTTAGAACAGCTTCTCTGAGCATTTCCATGTTGAATTACAGTTCCCATCATCCCCGTTTGCAACACTCCATAATGACTGAAAATTATATGTCAACGTATCTGGTATAATATATATGGCATTTATTTGGAAATTCTGACCACTTTAGGAACAGCAGCAATGACTGCATTTCTGTGGCAATGCACTATCAGCAAACACTGATGCCAACAGAACATCTTTCGGAATGAAACAGGAACATGTTCCATTGATATAAATGGTGGGTCAAACTGGCTGTAATTCAGGTAAAAATGAAAACACACAATCCATATAATTTTTGCTCTTTTCAAGGTAGAAACATCTCTGCACAAATTTTTCAGAAATATATAAGACTTCCAGTTGCAAACTGAAACTGAGATGCTTGACTCTGCAGGCCCAAACTCAAAACAGGATGCAACACAAACTACAATTTCATGCCACATCGTTAAAAAATTAAACCCTTGTCTGATGATATCACACACTTGCAATTCCAGGGCTATTTTCCAAGAACTCACCAAGTGAGAGACCATGACAGCTCCTTCACAACTTGAGCTGGAAGTATCTGTCTTTTCTTTGCTCTCAATAATCTTTAAAAAATGCAAAATGTGAGTCAGTTTCAGCACCACAGACTATAGGCCAACAAGTGCATTTATTGTTCTGTCAAAGTTTATGGAGAAATCCTCGTTATGCTGCAGTATACCTAGCCTAAATTCTTCAGATGTTACCATAGAGGTGGGACATTTATTTATAGGCCACCTTTCCGCTGAAGGAAACTAACTAGAGATGAAAGGGGCTCTCCAATTCAGTTCTCTAAGTGACAGATTTGTGTTCATCAATGGACGAGAGAGAGGACACTCTCCTCTCCACTCTACAGAGTCGTCTTGGTCTCTTGGGCTTTCCGTCCACAAGATCACTCAGTACCCCCTATATAGAAAACAGAAATTAAAGAAGAAATTCTGGAAGAGATGAAGTTCCATGTCCAGGCTTGGAAAATGAGTATTTGGGATTATCAAATAGTGCAGGGGACCCCTGAAACCTACCTAAATGTGAACAACAGCCTTAAAAGTGCTCCAGAATGTATGGGGACTCTAGGATAAGGTTGGATTTTAGATTTATTAACCTTACATGTTTTTGACTTCAGGAGGTACTAAGGTTCCAATCTACAGTTCCACAAGCTGGAGTCTGTCATCTAGTGTAACGGTACACCTCAGCACCAAGAGTCAGAATTTCATATGTTGTATATACATTTGTTTACCAGTAATGAAGATGTTAAAACACTTTGCAAAGATGAAACTGATGAAGTAAAATTTATAATCACTTACCATTCTGAAAATGGTATGAGAACGACTGCTTCTTTCATTCATTTTTGTCTCACCGTAATGTCTGTTCTCTGTTTTAGAAGACAGATCAGACAAATACCTTGATTATTCTTTTTCCTTATAGTGATAGATTTTTTTTGAACCCATGGAATTACACAGAAAGCTTTGTACAGAAGATTCAGAGTCTTACTTTCGCCTTTTTGTAGCCAGCTCAAAACTTGCTCTGGAGAAACCACCACCTCTTCATTCAGATCTTCAACATAAATAGTCCTCTATGAGAAAATGTTACAGTAGTAATATATTTTTACATTACATGGCTACTGTCATTGGTATGCCTAAACTGATTCTCCATATTAAACAGAAGTACCTAAGACAATGATACAAGGTATTTTATAATCTGACTCACCAAATCTGAGAACAGGAAATGTTATTACTGCAAAAGCATCGAAGAGTTTTTTTTTAAAAAAACATCAATGCAAACAATGTTTCCATTTTTTCATACAACATAGATTTTCCTGCTCCAGATTACTTACATTGATGTCTTCACGTACAACTAAGGGCTTCTTTTTCCTAATGTTACTGCACAGTAGGTCTTGTATAGTCTCATTGTGAATCTCCATATATGATATACGGAGTAAGAACTCCCTCTCAGGGATCTAGAAGTTAGAAGAGCATACATTCATCAGCATGCTTGAAGAATACTAACCAGTGTAAAGACAACTTTATCTACAAACAACATATTTTAATAGTGATGCCATCACACAAAAATTCTTTCCCACATGTCTGATAATTTACAGAAATCGTCTCCATTTTCCAGTGCCCAAATGTTGGCTGATAACCTATGCCCAGCCAACTTGGCCAATGGTTGCAAAGATACTGCCCAGCAACAAGCATGGAACCAGGGCTAAGAGAAGAGTTCAGAAAGTTCTCCAGATCCTTGCTCCCAAGAAATTTCTTCCAGGCAAACAAGATGGTGGTCGCTTGCATTTTCTAAACAAAGGAAAAGAATAATGGAAGGCACAGTATAATTTTGTCCATTTTTTCCTCTTAAAGGAAAAGGACTTCCTAGGATCTCCAGGTGGTCTGGATTTGATCAGCCTCCTCTGCAACGTTATCTCTAATTTCAGCCCGCTAGGCAGAGCTCTTCCCTCCCACACTTGTGACTCTGCCTCCCTCCGGGTGGGGTTCTGGTCAAAAGCAGATCTAAAGGGCCTGGAAACAGGCACTGTGGGTACGCAGAGGGGGAAGAACACTGCCTAGAGGAGGGCACCATGCGCTCTACATGCCCATGCGGCCGGGAACCTTGCCCCTCTGAGATGGTGAGTGATCATGCACTGCAGAAACATTGCCAGTTCCCCCACGCTTGACCTAAATGAAACAAGGACCTGTCACAGCAAGTGCATTATCCTCTTCACATAGCTTTGAAACACTGATCTGGCATCAGAAAGACAAATGTTTTGTAGAATGACTTACTTTGCAGATTGTGCTGAAGACATCATGAATTGCCATAGGCAGGATACCCGGGGTCTCCTTTGTGCCCAACATTGTGTAGGTTTTCCCCGATGCAGTCTGACCGTAAGCAAAAATTGTGCCTAAGGGAAAGCAATGGCATTTGCTCACGATCATAATCAAACAGAGAAAATGTAATCAGATTAAGTGATGTTTAACATACCATTATACCCCTGAACAGCAGACTTTATAATCGGTGCAGCCACCCCTTGGTAGACTTCCGCTGTACTGTCATCAGAATGAAACACTCGATCTTAAAAAAACACACACAGACCATTATTTAGTTTTTTTAAAGTGAGCTCCATATCCAATACTCCATATCAAATTGCTACTTGTAAATAAGACTGGATCAGTTTCCAGCAAAATCTATTCTTTGGATTTTGTAGGCTAGCAATAGGTCCTTTATCATTTCCAGATACACACACATACAGAAAGTTTTCTCTGAACTAACTGTATGACTTGCAGCTGACTAGAAGTGCATTATAAATATTCTGCTAGGCAGTGAGGCAGTCAAGCTATTCCGGTTTAGGATCAGTGCTCTTTTCTTTCAAAACTTACACTTGCTGTGTATTTTCTAAACATGGTAGAACCAGAAAGATTAGTAGTCTGTGTACCGCAAGATTTATGATGTTCAGCATGCATTGAGCCCACCCTCATTACTTCCTAAATACCCATATTGAAATAACTGTTATTTCAGTGTGTAAGAGGAACTTACCAAAGACAAAAGACTTGGCCCCATCTATTTGTGATACAGTACAGTCTTCACTTTTCCACGAAATCTGCACTTTGTCATCAAGGTCCTCATTTTCTCTTTAAAAAAAGAAATAACAAAACAGCATGTCCTAATAAATTGTCTGAGTGCAAAAAGTTATCTTTCCCCCACACTGCACATTGAAGCCACTTCATCCTCAAAATATACCACCTTTGCAAGTTTTGACTATCAGCCTCCAGGAGGGTGCAATTCAGAGCAAGTATCTTGCAAGGCAACCTCTTTAAAACTAAAATTACTCAACAGAGGTAACATAAGGCAAGGCAACCTCTTTAAAACTAAAATTACGTACTCAATAGAGGTAACATAACATCAAGGATTTACAGATATTCCCCTCCCTTCCCCTCCTTATTCTGATACAAAGGACTAAGCCAAGTACCCTGAATGTTTCAAAGAATGCATTTGAATGGTCCTGAGATGGAGGGAGGAAAAAATCCCAGAAATGAAGTTCCGGTGAAGGGCTTTGGTTTGAGAAGAGCTCTTTGAAAGACAAGCCCCACTTGGTGAAATGGCCATCAGAAGTGCTGTACTCCTGTCCTAACTTAAGATCAAAGATTCCCAGGTATTCCCTTCCTTACTCAGAAGGAAAGGATTCAAGTAACTAAAAACAATGTATTCTCGAAGGCTTTCACGGCCGGGATCTGATGGTTGTTGTGGGTTTTTTCCGGGCTCTTTGGCCGTGGGACAAGAGCATGGACAGAGTTCCTACTCCTGTCCTCTGGAGATGCCGGCCACAAGAGACACAGCCAAAGAGCCCGAAAAAGCCACAACAGCTAACTAAAAACACATGCAACAAATAACTGCTAAAAGAAAAGAAAAGAAAATCACCTTGCAATAAGCGGGCGCACCCTGACACACACAGTCACACCGCCCTCTTCGGCCATGTCGCTGCGCTTCCAAGCCTTCTCTGGTCTTGCTTTTTATCCGCTTCGCTTTCGGAGTTTGAATTTCCACCCAGGCCTCTTCCGATTGGTCCCTTGGTGACGTAGGACATTCTTCCAGCCCACCGGTGGACCGTACTATTATCTCGGGAGAGGGGAAATAGGGTGGGCGATTTAAACATCGGAAGGGGGCAAAAAAAGGGAGTGTACAATATTGCGCGAAATATTAGATGTACTTGATGTATTGATGCCAGTCTTTTTCCTCTTCGTCACCAGATGCGTGGAAGAGAACGCATAAACAACGTTTACACTCTCCTATTTTTACGGCTTTGTGGTAGTGATCGGGTTAAAAGGCGGGCCGTTCTTTATTTTCTCTGTTAGAAGATTGGTCAAGCCGCTGATTGACTGACGTGGGCTTACAGCCGTCCAGTCCTGGAAAAGCCCCATTAAAATTGGGACCTTTTTTTAAAGCGTAGGAAATGCAAGAGCGGCGCAAGAAGTGAGTTGGTTTATCGTAGACAGGCCTGAAAACGGGATAATGTATCGAGAGTTCCCGCCATTTGTCTCAAGGTTAGCCTCCAGTTCCGGTAGATGTGGCCCACCTGCCCGTGGGAAACAATGGAAATTATCCGTGAATTTAGTATTGCTGCGATCACTGCCCAAGAGGAAAAGACGAGGCAAGAATTCATTATTTTCGCTAACTCACAGTGGAGTCTGGTGTATGTTTGCATAGAACACACACACATACCCTTGATAGAACTTACTCCTTCCAGGAAAGTATGCATAGCTACAACAAGGCACTCTCAGACTGCTGATGGACTACACTTCCTATCATCCCTGACCATTGGCTGTGGTCTCTGTAGGTTTGGCTCACAAATTCCATATGCCGAATTAAAGGATAGTTGCTACCACTTTAAAAGAGATTCAGGATGCAAAGAAACTGCTGAGGAAGAGGTAATGTAGCAGGTAGTCGTGGTTAGTCTGTTGAAATGACAACTGGGAGATAGTTATGTAGCACTTGTAAGATGTCCTGGACTGCCCAAAAGATGAACAGTTGGGTATTAGAGCAAATCAAGCCTGAACTATTTCTGGAGGCAACAATGATGAAAATGAGCTTGTCTTACATAGGTCATGAGAAGGCAAGGCTTGCTGGAAAAGATAGCAGTGGGAGATGTTGGAAGCAGCTGGAAGAGGAAGACCAAATATGAGAGAGATTGACTCCTTAAAGGAAGTCACAGCCTTCAGGGCTGTTATGGACAGACCATTTTGGAGAGCTTTCATTCATAGGGTCATCATAAATTGTAGGTGACTTTACACAATGAGAAACCTATATGTGGGACAGGAAGCAACAGTCAGAACTGGTCATGGAACAACTGAGTGGTTCAAAATTGGGAGGAGTACGCAAGGCTGTATATTGTCCCCCGGCTTATTTAACTTATATGCAGAATACATCATGCGGAAGGCTGGACTGGAGGAATCCCAATCCAGAATTAAGATTGCCGGAAGAAATATCAACAACCTCCG